CGCAGCTCCTTCAGACGTCACTCATCAATCAGAACCCGGAGACAGGCGATATTTGGGTTCATCGTATTGTTCAAGACGTGGCGAGAGCTAAGCTGGAACCGCACCGATTAATCAAAGTATACAACGTAGCTATTCAAGCAGCCTCGTCTGTGTGGCCATTCACCAACCTGGAGAATCGCTTCACCACCGCCCGATACAAGTTCTGCGCCCCCTTATTTCCGAGCATTGTGCGTTTAAGGAACGCCTATAAATTCATTTCGTCGTTGGAAACGTTCCACCACGAGTTGCCCGCCGCGAAGCTTTTCGGCGATACCGGATGGTTAGTTGTCATCGTATAGAGCGCCAAGCTTGGAGAAGGCTAACTAAGTGCCAGGTACCGATTTGAGCGAGGATTCCAGGAAGAATCGAAGGAGTGGTTTGCTCTGGTGCATATTATTTGCTGTGGATTAGATAATAGAGCCTCGGAAGAGGCTCTGTACATGATCCGGGATACTCATCACAACCTGGGCACTGCTGCCGGTGAGACGAACGACGTAAAAAGCTTCCTCCAACACGTAGCCGTATGGCTTGAGATGCTGGAAGAAAGAAAGACATCGGACGGTGACATCATCGTCGATTACGAACTCGCCATAGGCTACAACGAAACGGGAGTCGCGCACGCTATGGACGGCCAGTATGAAGTGGCTCTTAACTATTTCTCGAAGGCTATTGAGACATACCAGGCCCTGCCACACTACGTGGAGACGATGCTTGGGTGGTCCGCGTCTAATGTCGGGCTTATGCATTGGGTTATGGGCAATTATGACGACGCAGAGCGTGTCCTGCTGGAGATCATCCAAATTTTTGCCTCGCACAACGGAGTTGACGACACGCTCTCGTTCAAGTAAGTACTATCCCATTCTTTAGACTACGCCAATTAACCCCTCAAAGAACTGGAAAGATGTTATATGCTCTGGGAAATGTGTACGTCAGTCAAGGAAAGCTCCAGCAAGGTCTCGAGCTACACAATCGTTGCCTAAGACAGTATCGTGCGACGCTCGGTGATAGTCATCATCGAATCGGGGACATTTGTCACCGACTCTCTGACGACAATATCTACTTTGGGAATTATGCAGAAGCCCAGTGAGTGATCAGTTTCCCTCTGAGCTCTTTTTGCGAATTCCGAGACTTCACTAACACAATTGGACCAGGGTCCTCATTAACCAAGCTCTGGAAGTGTTCGGCGGACGCCGTCAATACCAACAAGAGCTTGCCCGGTCAACCTACAAAGCGTCACAGGTATCTCGAGCCATGGGGAACAATGACAAGGCTGAGGAACAGCTCCAAGAAGCTTGTCAGCTACGTCGTGCACTTATACCGGGGGATCGCCGGGGCAATGACGAATTAAATGAGGCAGATTTTGACAGTCTTGTTGTCTTTTGGTCGCGATGAGCTTGGATTTTGGCTGGACTGGGATGCATATCAGGTACACCTAGAAGTATATTGAATCGAGAACACGTTAAGGGATCGAGTTTTTTGTATCCACCGCTGCCGTCCGTGGCAAGTTTCTAGCAGGTCTCAAGCAGCCCGTCGCTTCACAATTTGCCCAACAACCTCAGCCAGGTTCTCGGCCGGCAGTCCAAGAAGCTCGTTGCACAGTGAGCCGTTCTTTTCAAAATCTGCTCCCCTGTCCACATTATCCGCGTAGAGCAGCATCAAAATGAGTAGCTTTAGACCCTCCGAGTAGTCCTTGTTGTCCATATCCGCCGCCTTCTTCAATGCTTCCGCCGAAGACATTTTCTGCACCTCCCACTTGGAACCGGTAGATTTCTCGAGTTCATCCAGGACCTGGCGCTGCGAGACGGTAAACGAGGCCACGAAAATGGGCTTGTTTTTAGTCTCCTCTGGCTTGAGAAGCACTTTCACTACAGAAGCAGCAGCCGTGCCGATGGTGGTAGTTGACCAGGGCTTGTTACCCGAGTCGTAGATGACCACACGCTCTTGCTTCAGGTGGAAATCGAGCCATCCATCCTCCAGGCCCCAGTCGAAAAACTGTCCAGTATGTATGGCTGTCCAGCTGAGGCCGGTACTTTCCTTGCTTCTGAGATACTCGACAACCTTGGCCTTGTCGCCGTAAAGGCTGACGAGCTCTGCAGCGGCGACACATGTGTTATTGCCGTACTCAGTGGGGATGAATCGCTTAACGCCGGCTTGGACAGCGGCGTCAATCATGCGAAGGTGAACGGAGTAAGGGCGCCCAGGAAGCGTAGATACCAGCGCATCCTGGCCTCGGAATGCCTCAACGAGCTGGCCCAGGGGGTAGTCATCGTCCACTTGGAAGATATTGTACTGCGTAGGAAAGGTAGACTTGGAGGATTTGCGGGTCAATATGGAGAGATTAAAGGAAGCCTCCAGGGAAAGGGCTGCGAAAACATGCGTGCCGAAGAGCCCCCCCGCCTGCGAATTGAGTTGTTAGCATTGAATTCTCGTTCTGTGATGAGGGTGGGGGGGGAGGGTTAGAAGAGGAACCTACACCAATCACCATAACGTTTTTGATTGGCTGAGCCATTCTGATAGAGGTAGGGAGTAACTACGGAACAATCAATAAATCAATCCGTCGAATTGAGGATGGATAAGGAGTTTTAGAATTTAACTTTGACCGATGAGCTGGAGGGGCAGGGCTTGAGAGAGAAGGAGGGTTCGGTTGTGTACCTATTTCCGGGGGGGCTAGCAGTTGTTGACTTGTGTTACCATGACTGCTGGCCTGCCAGGGCGGCTGCGGGCGTGGCTTCCTACCTTAGCTTTTAGTACGCAAACGACAGGGATGGGCCCGGAGGCTACGCCAAAGAAAGTGCGTGTATAGAATATACGTATAAGCTAGTTACTGTGAACGCGATAATCAGCAATGGGGATAAATTAGTCGTCTACGATCTTTATGAGGACGGCTCGTTTGGCTTTTCAGGTGTGATGCATTAGGTACTTTTTTGGGGGCGCTTCACCGCCCGTCCGTCCCCTCCGCCCCAAAAGCAATCAGCGAGCAGCAAGTGCCCGTTTTTTCATGCGACCGGACAAAAATGCGCTGCTAATAATTATAATATCTAAATGAACTTCCGCGGCCGTAGATATATGTGTATGCGAGAGAGAGAGAGAGAGACACTGGCGGCCTAATTTTAAAGTCATATTTGCCTACCGTGGTGTTACGCTAACGATGAAACTTGCATCTTACTGAACCCAAGGAGACGGCGTAGACAACGTACCTGGGGTGATTTCAGGAAGTGCCATGACTAGAATATGGCAGTGATAAGGAAAGGTCTATTGAAATATAATATGAAAATATCCGAAATTGTGATGGCCCGCGGGGCTTTAGCGGTAACCAGCGCTGCTGCCACCATTGTCTGTACCGCTACAATCCACTGTGCTGCGGAAGGCAATTCTGGTACCTAGTAGTATTTTTGTCACTTGGCTACACCTCTGCAGGTGCGCACACGCGCCAGCCAATATATATTGTCAGAGGCGTAGCCTAGGCCGTAACAAAACATAAAACAATAGATGCTAATATAGAATAGACGAAATAGCATATTCATTATGTGTCCTTAAGTACATACGTAACTGGACCCGCGTACTTACTTCTACCCTGGATAAAGAACCAAGCTGCTCCAGTTTCGCCATTTACAGCAGCACTTGCTGGGAGAAAAGCGAGAAAAAAAACAAGTGAGAGATATTATAGCACTGCAAATATGTTGATACGCCCTCTGAATTTACGCAGACTCCATCGCGCGATAGGCAGTGTCTCTCCGCGGTACCGTGATCAACAAGAAATAAAAATAATGTACGACGATATGAGGGCTGCTGTTCCAAGAGATGCAATGGCGTTGAAAGCCACAGTGGAACCGATATTGATGAGGGACAACATCTGTTCAACCCAGACATTATGCCATTCGTCCAGACGTTTTTCATCGCTACAGAGTCTCACGCTGGAACCTCCGCCATGACGGTTATGTTGATTACGTTGACAACGTGCGGCTGCATTACCGTCTGCCAACCAAGAACACAAACCCATCCAGTCATGTAACTGAGAAATTGCAGGCGCAAATTCAGATACGCAGTGATATTTTCCACCAGTAGTCGGCGCCATGGATGCCATCTCGGCCATAGAGGCAATGACGGCGATGAAGCCGACAAATATGCCGAGGTAGCAGTATATTAAGCCCGCGATTCCGCCATTTGTGAGACCGAAGGTGCTGGCGCTGTTGTTTCGTCAGCGTACCTCCTTGTCCATATCCCATCCACATCGAAAGAGTAGAAACTCACGTCAATTGTCCTTGCCAAGTACTCATGAGGATACAAGTAAAACCCAACATAGATAGGAAACCATAGTTCCGCTGCCATGATCGTGAGTTAGCACATTCCTTCACTGGTCCTATCGTCGAGAATAGTGAGTTGAAATACCCTTGAACTGCTGCGGCTTCCCCATACGCATCATGTCTTGTTGATCTTTTCTGGTTCCGACTTTTTCTGAAATATGGTACTCTGTTGAGTGCGATGCCATCTTCCGCTGGTCCAGCTGTAGCGTGGCTGGCTATTCTGTTGTCGTGAAGGTCAGTTGTTAGATTCATGGTGTTACAAGGGCTCCACCATGAACAAGCGTAATTATCAGAAAGGTGATTAAGGGGGGGAAAGAGCTCCGAAATACATGTACCAAGCAAGAGCGGTCGGAAGTTAAGGAGCGGCTGATTGACCTGACATTGCCATGGCTGTATTCATCGGCAAGGAGGGGTAACGTTTTCACAAGGTATATTACGGCCTAAAATGATTATCGAGCCTATTCCAACATTTATAAAAAAAATATAGCCAAGGTAGGTCAGCTACCACCTCTATAGGTAGTTATTTATCCGACGTTATACTCGTCGCACTGCTTTGCTATTTCCTTCGGCTACTCCCCCATCGCGTTCTTTGCGCACCACAAGATCCCAATTAGCAGGAAGAACCCGAGAATCGAGCCCACCGCAATCAGCGCAATGATGCCGTTGGACAGCTCCTTGTTATCGCTATCAGACTTGCTGCCGCCGACGGGCTCCGCCTTGCTGCCTGGCGTCCACGTCTGGAGGGACGCGCCCGACGCCATGCTAGGCAGCGAGAACGGCAGCAGTTTTGTCTCGGACTCGTGCCACTGCGCGACAAAGGGCTGGTGCATGGTGACTATTGTTGTGGCGTCTACGCCCTTGAGGGTCTCGTTCCCTGGGCTGGGAGCGAGGCTGGTCGGTGTGCTTTCACAGCGCTGTGATGGCAGATTAGGCTGTCCATACGCGGCATATGTAAAGCCACTATATAACAATACCCATGTAAGTGAAATGTCTCTGCTATATGCTCCGAGGCCTAGTTGACCGAAAGGAAGGCATTTTTACCTGGCGCAGCAGTGTGCCTGGGTATGTGCTCGCTGGTCCGTGTCCGAGGACGTCAGCGTGACGCGGTAGTATACCCATCCACTTGGACACACGGCCGGGCTGAAGGTAAAGTTGTCGAGATCCCAGCCTGGCGGGTTGCAAGAGGAGAACTGGGCATCGGCCGTGTTGGACTGGTAGTACGACCATGTGTCGACCTGGCCGCTCTCGGAAAATGTGTTGACGGTGCCTAGGCTGGTAAAGAGCGACGCGCACTCGCTGGGCTGGGTGAAGAGAGTGGTGAGTGGGGGCGCAGCCACGGAAGGTACCGTAGAAGTTGTCATGGCATGGCAATTGATGAATATATGCACTTGCGCTGTAAGACCTTCGATGCAACTGCCAACTTCTCATGTTGGAGGGTCGGAGGTCGGAGGGTACCAAGTCGGTGGGGTGTCGATAACATAAATAACATTATGGATCTGGGGGATGATGGGAATTCTGGAGACTGGGCTGTTCCGGGGAGACTTGGCACTGTCAACAACAGCCCTGGCATTGTGGTGAGCGTTTACTGGTAACTATGCATGGCTCTGTTCAGAGCCAGGTTGGGTGTAATTTAACAGCACGTGGCGGTATGGCAAGCAACGATAGGTTTAGTTACGCCCTGATGAGCAGCACAGCCGTGAACCCGAATCGAGAAGGTATGCATGTGAGGTTGAACAGTCCGTCTCATACTTCCGTGCACAAAGGGGGAACGGGCGCATGCATCGCAAAGACAAACTTGCTCTACTCATCGACTGACACCCACCCACTTTCGGACCGCCCCGTTCGTGGTACCAAGACTGCATATCCGTAATTCGTAATTTTGCCCCCAAATTTAACTTGGACTAAAAATATAGAGTTGGATCTAGCGCCTTGCTCCCGCAAATCCACGCTACTTGCCCGTGACATGGCAATTCTGGGACGCAATGGCGATATTGACCGCCATGGCCAGAGCAGCCATGTGCCCCTGCGTCTGCTCCCTATACCTTACCTGGCTCCAGCCAAAGGCGAGCTGGTACGGCGCCGCAAAGGCGTCCGTGTACAAGACATTCGGGTACGAATACGGCGTGAACTGGTGGTACGCGTACCAGAACATGGCGCTGAGAAAGTCGGTGGCCTGGGCGTGGGTCGGGTCTGTCAGAGTGTTAAATGTGAGACTCGGCTCCCGATGCAGCACGAAAAAGGTATCCTATCACGCGAGTTAGCTCATCATCAGAATATTGCTGGGTAGTCTTACCAGCCTGGTATCGTTCTTGATGGCTTTATTCAGCGTTAGCTTGCTAATTTGGTCCTGCGCAAGCACGGCGGCTGAGTCAGCCTTCGAATACTTTCCATTGGTAGGGAATAGGCTGCGGTGGTAATACCCGCGATCTGCCGCGCGACGCTCAGCACACAGCCCTTTCCGTCGCCAATGTAGTCGCCTAGAGTCAAGTCCGTCAGGTACTTGATATTCTCTTTGGGCCCTACGGGCGGCAGGCCACGGCACGGCTTATGGATGTTGTTCTTAAACTTTTCCAGGATAGGCGTCCAGTCTGTGTCCGTCATGGTCGGGAACCGCGCCTCGTTGACACCCGTGTTGAAGCCGGCCTCATCGCTGATGTCGAGGATCACCAACTCGCCCGGGTGCTCGTCCATGAATTGGTTGATCTGCTCAATCACCGTGTCGATCCGCAGGCCACGCCCGCCCTGCGTCGTGGCAAAGTTGGATTTGTCGGCCCAGACGGACATGTGGCAGGTAAACGAGCCGTCGTGGCCACCATCACAGGGGCGTATGTCGAACCAGCGCGCGCCGCGCAGGAGCTGGCCGTAGATGTCAAGGTACTGGTTGCGCGTGTTGCCCTCGTTGGCAAGGATGCTGACCAAGGTAAGCTCGCTCATGCCTGAGTCATGCGAGCCAGGCATGCAGATGTGCTTCAGCTTTCGGTCTCCAATGACAGGTTTACTTGTCAGTAGTCTAGTCCTTGTACCAGGCTTCGCAGATGGGACACTCCTGCAGGATCGAGGGGCGAAGCCCAACATGTCCTACGATGGAAATACCATCAAAGACTGTACGTGGTGGTATGACAGTGACGGTAGTGACAGCTGCGTTGACGTTCCAAAGTTGTTTGGGATCAGCAATTTTGTATGGGTAAGCAAAAATACCAGGCACTCAATTTACAAACTTAATCTGACCCTGCAGAACCCTTCAATAACCGCCGACTGTGGGAACTTCGAAACTGGACAGTCGTACTGCGTCGAAGCTGTGGTGGCAACGACGACAAATCAGCCAACTCCGACGGCGACACCAGTCGGCCCAACAAACGGTATGCAACTTCATTGCACTCTTTCTCGCCAACATTCTCATTCAACTAATCGCAGGTATCGAGACGCCACAGCCAACACAGCCAGAGATTACGCGAAACTGCAATCGCTTCCACAAAGTTCAGCCCAACGACACGTGTGATGACATTGCCGCCAGAAATGGTGTTGCGCAAGCCGACCTGGCCCTCTGGAACCCAAGTGCCAACAGCGACTCCTGCGAGCCTATGCCTACGCCTGTATCTCTGTCATAGAGCAGTGGATATTTGGCGAGTACAAGTTTGCTGGCTGGAGCGTGGTGCACCCGAATCGAGGCGGACGTCTCTGACGGGGGCAAGGCGATGATTGATATGACCTACAACGATGTTTCCATGCAAATGATTGTTATTTGCAAAAGAGGCGATGTATCGAGCGGCAACCTGGGCGGTGTCCTGCGCGCGTCCGAGGTCGGCGTCAGAGCCGACAACTACCGTGGCTACTATGTCGGCCTCGACAGGGCCGGCGGCGGCGTCGTCATCGGTCGCACGGATAAGGAGTGGCGGCAACTGCAATTTGTACCTGCCACTATTGGCGACTTTGCCACGCTCAGGGTACAGATAACGGGCGATCGGCTCGCCGTCTACCTCAACAACCTGAACCGCCCGCTGACGACACTCAACGACGCCACGTACCGCCAAGGCCATGTAGGTCTGCGCACGTACAAGAAAGCCGCGAGCATCGCCGCGCTCGTTGTGTCGCCGCTGGTGTATGAGGGCTTCGGGGGGCAGCTGGCGGGCTGGACCGTCTACGATGGCTACTTCAACGCCTCGAGCAAGCTCCTCGTTGGCAAAGGCGACGGCGGCAGCGACGGTGGGGGCAGCGGGAAGGCCACCATGAACACCAACTTTGCTGATTTTATCCTGGAGGCCGAGGTTATGCTTACCAAGGACGGTCCTGGCACGGCGGGCGTATTGTTCCGCGCGTCGAGCCTAGGCCGCGGGCTCAATGTGTACAAGGGATACTATGTCGGCTTGGCCTCGGACGGGACCATGGCGCTCGGGCGCGGGGACGGCAAGACCTGGACGGGGATTCAGAGCACCAAGGTAGAGGCCAAGGTGAATCACCCGTACCGAATCAAGGTGCAGGCTGTTGGGTCAAGGATTGAGGTCTATTTCGAAGACATGGCAAAGGCATTAATGGTGACGACGGACGCAAGCGATGGTAGTGGGATGGTCGGCGCGCGTCTTGACAACTCGACGGCCATTTTCTACAGCTACACAGTGCAAAGGAAATGAGGTGTCTATTAATTGAAACTCAAGGTATTAGTTGAAAGGACGTTCTTTCTTAGGGTTACGGTTGTTGTTTCATTCAATATAACTCGCTACTACTGGTGATTAATAGGTCCTGAATACTGCCCGACCTTGACACCCGATTTTGTGCCATGAATAGCGCGAATGTTGTTCCAGAAAACCCCCGTCTTGGCCTGACGAGAAGCCTCCGCCCTGCTTTGCGACCGCGAATTTATCCGCATCTGCGCGCCACTTACTTGGGGAGAGTACGCCTCGCCGCCACTGGAGCCATCTTCTAGGTAGACGAAGATAGGCACCTCCGCCTTTGTTTTCCATTCGCCTCATCGGCGGTGCTTGGCTGCTGCGCTCAATGGACCAACTCTCCCCTGTGTAGGTAATTCCTTGTGTACATAGTGGCTGATGAGGCTGTGCCTGCGGAGTATTGTTGTAGCGGAATCCGACCTGAGCCCATTCGAGCCAGTGCATGACTTCTTCAGTTCTTCCTTCTGCTCCTTCGTAAACGCCATCCTCGCTTTTCCTAATCATCGCTAACAAAACGAATTTTCGAGTCGCGATGGAAGCCTCGAAGAAACCCACGGCTGAGACCGCAGACTTTGCTTCCTCAGCACAGAAAGGCAAGCTTCATTCTTCAATCTCATCCCAACTCTGGCTCGTTTTTTCTGAACTGTAAGCTGTCAATAGTGATCACGTATCAGTCTAATGACGTATCCTACGAAATTACCCCTACAACTTTCAGAAAAATATCTCGACTCCCATTCAATGATCCATATCCTGACGGAACCCCCTTCTTGTGGTTCAGGTCATGGTTAGATCATTAATGCTACATTGTTTTCAGCTCCACATCGTCCTAACCATTCTGAATAGGAATCATGAGCGAATCACCAATGAAGCGAATGCTTTGAAGCTAATTTCCGAACAAACATCAATTCCCGTGCCAAGACTACTTGATCATGGAGAATTACCGGATGGCCGGCGGTATCTGGTCACGGAGTTCATTGACGGTCCAACCCTAATGGAAATGGGCTCACAATGCTGCTTGAGACCGGCAGGTCAAAAACACACGGAAGAAAAACCCTGTAAGACATGCTTGCACCAAGCTTACTCGAATGCTCTCGATTTTATCGGGACTATTGTCCTTCCGCAACTTGCAGATCTGAGGTCTCACCACCGTGGGATCAATGGATTTGTCATGCCCCCTTCTTGGCTTACTCCGGATGCCCAGCCTCCGTGGAAAGGCAAAAAATCGTTCAAGACTCTTCCCTCGAAGAATGCGGAATATGTTTTTCAACACGGTGATATCGCACCCCAAAATATCATCATCAACAGACAAACCCTTCAAGTCGAGGCCTTAATCGATTGGGAGCACGCTGGGTACTTTCCACCGGGAATGGAAAGGTGGCCCGGAACACTGGACATAGGTGCGTACAGAAAACGGGCTGATGGTCAGGCGGATGCAATTTCAAAGTTTCTTCTCGACGAATACTTGGAATGCTACGAAGAGTGGACCGATAAAAATGAGCTGCAGAAGTTGGTTGACGCTGGGGAGCTTCCCGATCCTGGCCGACAGATGGAAAAGAAGGAAAGAGACAAAGTCAGATCAAGATATACGAGTTTCTGCTAGCAGTCATCGTGCTATGAAGCCTAGCCAGTTTTAAAGAATGTGGTTGTGGATGTCATTGGATTGGACGCACTGGGTGTGCTGAGCAAAGTAAGGACCGAAAACTGCTTCGACTGATCTCCGGAGGGTGCCGTGGACGATGTGCTTACGGTTTGGGGGCTGGTTATCGGCTCAAAGTTGTGCGCAGTCAAGCTCGCTTGTCCTGCTTTGCCGTCTGCGCTCCATATCTTGTGTGCCAACGCCTAGCGGAGGCGACGTGCGCTGTCCTCGGGCGTATTCCGACCCCGACAGGGCGAGGAAGCTGGCGGATCTTGTCCATGACTCTGCCAAAGTCATTTCCCTGCTTCTTTGGGCGTCTATTGAGAGCAACGAAGCCCCAATTGTCCATGGTGAGTATTTGGCCCTCGTCTTTAATAAGGTGAGGTTGTACGACACTACGAAAGGTATTTTTATTATTCATGTTAGTTAATCAATCCTTTTACTGGATATTTAGTAATTTCATATGATAACCCCCACTATTACATGGTAATTTATAATCTGTACTATTTATGTTTACGCTATAACTAAGTCTATTATGTAGGACTGATAAAAAAGTGAGACCTAATAACATCGTAAGATAAAAATTCAAAATTGCTGGTGAGCATACCTTTTGTTTTTTGTAGTCTTTCCTTTTTATTTTTGTTTTTATCACGCAATGCGACGAAAAGGATCTCATCATGTGCAGAGACAGACATCTGGCGGCATCTTTGCCGCAGCCAAACATTTTCAAACACAAATCCTCAGACATGTGATGAACGAGACGCTTGGCCAATTCCCAAGCCTGGTCGGTCACACGCAGCGATGAGGCTGCCGTCACAATTAACAATTTGACGGGTTGACAGGTTGACAGGTTGTGCCAAGGCCGAGCCGTTCCACCAGTCAGTCATTGCTTCTTTCCACAGCAGATTTTCTTCCCGCGCGCAAAAGGAATTAAAAGCCATCCCTGGCAGAAGGTGCAGCTTGGATGAAAACCAGCGCCACTGTAGTTTATTATCTACGACGAAGGCAGTTTCCCAAACTCAAGCAAGCAAGTTATGTGTTCGTACGTGACTTACTCTTGGCAGGCATGAATCGGCGGGACCCAGTACTCTCTATTTAAGTGACAATAAAATACCATCCTCGGCTTTGACTCTGAGCCTGTTCGGAGCCGTTCACATTCCCGGACGAGCGTTGTGTACATACACCGCCAGGATGTCCAGAGTGTCTCGGATTGCAAGACAGGCGGCTAGTTAGAGGACAAGGGCCGTTCCGTCAGAAGGGGGCTCGGGAGTGTCGGCATCGACGATGGTGCAATTTTTATGGCTTCTATTTTCATAGTGCACGGAACTCGGGCGCATTTTGAGCAGTGTCATACATAGTGTCACCCGATGTTTAACGAATGGGTATTTAATCAGCCGACCTCGTCCCCAACTCACTAGTAGATGAATGCCCTGAGGGATGGGCAAGAGCACGACCCTGGATTGCAAAGCACGATCATCCTTGCGATCGAATGTACGGAGCGCCCGCATAAATACTTTGTAATAAATTGTCCGTAGATGCCTCGCTTGTCCACGACATGTCCCCGCCCCCCAATCCTAACGGATCCTGCGTCTTCCGATCCTGGCTCAAAGACATGGCTCATCACATTTGCAATCTGCCCGGAGCCCTGCACCCTGTATCACATCCCCCTCGCATGCCCCTCGCATTCCCCTGCCGAGCAGAGTCTTCAGCCGAAGAGAAATAGCAGATAATCCCGCGAACCTTGTCCGAGGAGCAGGTCAGCCTCGTTCTAGTTTCTGACGGAGCTGGAGGGTCTCAACCTGCAACGGCTAACTCGTCGTTTTGCGTCTCTAGCCAAGAAAGTATAAAATTCGCCCTGCATGCTACTACAAGTGCTGGAAAAAGAAGCGGCGTTGGCAGGTCATCGGGGAGCCGCAAGCGAGGGCGTGCTGTAAACCTGCAACTACAGTAAAGGGGATACCACGAGTAACTTAATAGTTATTTTAGTTACCGACTTATTAGGCAACTAGCTTCATGACGGGTGGCCTAGTTCCCGTCCGCGAAGCCACTTGGCCGCCTACATAGTACGCCATCAAAAACAAAAACGAGTTCGTCGTGTGACGCGACAGTCCTTACATACTGGTGGTACATGATACCACTCACACAGATCGTGTGCCGTCGGCGGCAGGATGCACGACATATGCCGCTGTGCGATCCAGCGTTACGCTCTCGCGGATAGTTCTTTTTCTGTGAAGCAGCACGGTTTTCTGCAGTCAGCGACACGCCCCGACAGCGGGCCAGCTGGGACTCAGAGAAGCGTTGCGCTCCAAAGTTCCCGAGTTTTCACAGTCACCACCCACCAGACGGACCATGCAGGTGGAAGCTTCCTGGGCCCATGGTGCAGATCGTTTCATACTCAGCTTGGGGTCTGTGTTGCGCGGGCCTTCAGCTGCCGCCGCCCATTCAACATTCTACAACGCCTAACTAGTTCGTTCAGAAGGTGTGGCCCAGACGTCATGGTTGACGGTGACCATCTTGGTTGCCAAGGTTCGAGTGGCAAAACAAAATAAAAAATAAACATGGCTCACTGTTGAACACCTTTGTCCCAACGCTCAGGACAACGCGCGATCATTTGGAGACGGCATTGACAAAGAAGCAAAGCTCGTCTGTGTCACACTGTGTGTATTCGTACCTAGTCACGAACTAATAAACAAGGAAAATAGAGCCAAGCTAACAGTGGAGGGTGCCAGATGGCGGCCTCTGCTTGGCTGGAAGCTCATCAACTAATAACCCTAAATAAGTTACTCCGTACAAATTACAAGGGAGGGCTTTGCGTACCCCCACCAGTGCCCCCGGTGATTTCTCTCTCTGCCCAACTCGACACGGTTCCCTCGATTTGTAGCCCTGTCCCTGCCCGGCCCGATGAGCCCCAGACTCCCCGACATTGCTAAAGAGCTTCCACTGGCTGGGTTACTCTCAGACATGGGCCGCATTGCTTTTGGTGTGGGAACACGGCCATGTTTGTCCAATAGGAGATAAAAAAAAAAGAAATGAGTCGTTTGCCATGCATCGCTGGCGGCCTAACCGGCAAGAATATCTCATTTCGTTATATAACAGGCTATCCCTACCAGTTCCTCGGCCGCGACAAGATCGGTAGCATTCCCGTATAATACGCGAACAGCTTGCCACACCCACCGCCCGACATGGGATCCCTCAGGATCACGATACACTCGCCGCCCAAGACACCCGACACAATGGCGACCGGCGACATCCATCACGATGTGTACGCACGAGAAGTGCTTGGCTTGGAGGCCGGCATGACGGAGGATGCCATGGACGCCGCACTCGTCGCCAAAGCCAACTCGCTTGGCATCGCAACCTCGACGCTCCAGAAGCGCACTACATCGAGCGCCTTTTCCTCGTCCACGTCGGGCTCGACGCTCGACCAGACCTTTTCGGCCGCATCTCCGACATCCATGCCCGCGACGCCGCGGTCCTCCCTCTTTGCCATGTCCAACACGGACCTGGCGTGCAGCGACGCGACAGGCTTTGGGCTCTACGACCAGTTCATCGCGGCCGTCGGCGGCGGATCGCTCGAGCAGGTCCGCTTGCACAACGGGTCGTCGCCGGCCGTCACCTCGTCGGCGCACAGCGTCTTTAGCGTCAGCACCAACAAGAGTTTTTCGAGCGTCAGATCGGGGTTTAAGTCACGCTCCTGGTTCAAGAAGAAGTCGGACCCTTCACAGTGAGTAACCCGCAGCCATGCTGGCGCAAGGGATGCTAACGAGGGGGATTAGGTGCTGCCATGGCTGCCGCACCCCGGCTGGTAAATTGGTCGCTCTGCACGGACTCGCATGCAAGCACACATATTGCTCCGGGTGCATGCGATACGTCGTGAGCCAGGCGTGTATGAATGAGGCGAGCATGCCGCCGCGCTGCTGCTCCCAGCCATTTCTGAGCCATGTGTTGCAAGACGCTCTGGACCGCGACACGCAGCAGGCCTTTTTCCAGGCCGTCACCCACTTCAGCACGCCTAAGCATGCGCGCATATACTGCCCGAGCAGCGAATGCGGTGCCTTTATCAACGCGCGTCAAGTCGTCCACCACAAGCACCCCATGGACGTGACCTGCCAGCAGTGCCTCGCGCGCGCGTGCCGCACGTGTAAGCGCGGCGCGCACGCTCTCGGCACCGACTGCCCGCAGGACTGGGAGCTCGAAGCGGTCAAGAAGATGGGCCAGGGCACGCGCTGGAAGCGATGCCACAGCTGCCGCAGCCTCGCCAGCCTGGCGCCGCGACGCAGCCACATCGTCTGTCGCTGCAAGGAGGCCATGTGCGCCGTCTGCGGCGCCATCTGGGATGCGACCGCTGGCGGCTGTCCTAACATGTGCAGCAGCGACGCCGCCGTGACGCGCCCGCCGTCAACCCTGCTCCCCGACGATACGGACACGGACACGGCCCAGACCGAAGCCGAGACGCGCGACGCCGTGAGCCGCGCCCAGCGCTGCCCCCAAGTGCAGGCTCTCATACACCAACAAGCCCTCGAACTCGACCGTTTCTGCGCCTTTGCCGCGCGCTCGTACGGCACCATGCAGGCGCGGCACGCGACCGACAAGCTCACCCTCCTCGAGCAGCACGTCGACGAGCAAGACGCGCTGACGGCCCGACACGCCAAAGCCGCGGCTGCGCTCGAGGACCGGCAAATCGCCGCCGAGATGGAGCTGCGCGCGACGCTCGAGCAGACGGCGCGCAGCGTCAACCTGCGTCTCAAGCACATGGAAGCCTACTGCCAAGGCCGCAGCAGCAGCGACGACGCCGGCCGCGTCGTCACGGAACGCAACCTGCGCGAGCTCGGCCAGCAGTACACGCTGCGCGACGGCATGGCGCACCAGCACCAGGCCAAGATCAACGTGATGCGCGAGCGCCAGGCGCGCCGCGTGGAGGAGCTGCTGGACCGCCAGGAGGCCGAGGTCGAGACCCTGACGGTACGGCAGCAGGAAGCGTCAGCCGTGCTGGGCAGTCGCGTGGCGGCCGAGGAGGAAGCCGCGGGTGACGCGCTGCGCGCGCTGCAGATTCGGCTCGGCGCTCGCTGGAGCCTCCAGCTTGACGTGCTGTGCCGCGAGCGCGAGGCCGAAGAAGGCCTGCGGTACGGTCCGGTGGCGACGCCGGCGTGGCCGCAGGACCAGCTGTACGTGGAGCAGGCAAGTCCGTAAGGTGCTTCGCGCCTTTTTTTTTTATGTTGAACGTTGATACCAGTTGCATGGGGAAGAGAACTTCCTAGACTCTTTCGCTTACAATTCTCTTTACTGTCAAATATTCCTATTTGCTTTTGTTCTATCCCACGAGGCCACGGCGGCACATTTTTGAATTCTTCTTTGTCTTACATGAAAGCCTGTCGGGGTTTTCTCTATTTTATACTCTGATGGCCTTTTCCATTGCTGCACCCTCTAATTACCCTACTGCTGTTTCTTGTTTAATTATGTTTTGTTCATATTGTATACTATATAGCCACTATAGCCACTACACATGGCTTTATCTTGATTAGAGCGCTAGAGCGCAGTACCTTGACAGGTCAGCGGTACGATCATAATACCCCTTTTCTCAGAAAGCATACCCAGGTTTTAACTAGTTTCGACTTTTCGGCACTTCTTTGTAACGCGCTCCCCCGTCTTAATCCAAGCCGCCGAATTCACCAAGATCCTGCTGGGTCGGATGGACTCGACCCTACTACCCTAGGCTTGCCCGGGCTGCCGTCGACAAATGCGACGCTGTTCAGGGGCATTCTTACTTTCCGCTGTAGAATCATGCCTCTGCCGCTCTGCGCCCAAGGTTTTCGGAATTCCACAATCCGCTGGGGCACAAGCGGGGAGTAGAGCGCCGCCCTGGGGCTGCTCGACTCCTCCTCCAGTCCCGACGCCAAGATCGACAAGTGGTGGCGCTGCAGCGAGGCTAATACGTGGTGCTGATTTGTCCTCGTCTTTTTCTGAACATTTTTTTCTCTCGCTCATTTTCAACGAATTGTCGAATCAAAACTTGCAGAGCCAAGGTGACTAGCTCGCTAGTCAGAGTGAAACGAGAGAACGGAACAGCAGGCCACATACTACGCAATAGATGGGGCTCAGGTAGGATGCGCGTAACAACTATTAACTATAGGTTCTATCTGTGTTAGTTCGATAACTGCTTTTAAGTGGCCATGAGGAATGCTTGTCGTTTTGGCATCATTCAATCAGTGTCAGAGTTCACATGCTATATTTACCTTGTGAGCCAGGCATTCAAGAACACTGGTCGCTCACTATAATGGTCTGCGGGAATCTTGACTGGCATTGGATTGTACTTCGGCCACACCTGCCCCCCCCCCCCGCCCAGTATGCATCGCCTCGTTCCCCAGATGCGTCAACATGACAACCACGGAAGACAATAGATTGAGTGGTTAGTAGATTGGTTGAGATATAGGTCCTTGTTTGCTTGTTTGCTTCCCTTTTCTTACGCCGTTATCATGTGTAACGTGATACCCACACCGACTACTGTGTTTTCTATTCTCTTCTTTCCGCATTAATTGACAACAACTTCCCATCAATACCACATATAGTATGACGCGGGGATGCTGCCTCTTTACGCCTCGGTTCTAGCGTAGATACATTTCGCCGTTATTTGGTTATCTTTCCTCTTCTCTTCTTTGCCATCAATAGGTGAAGAAGCTGAGTAGCACTTCGAATTTAGTGAAATACACGTATTGATGGGTATATCTATTCATTTGGCTCCAAAGACTAACACTCACTATCATCCCAACGCTGAATACTTGCCGTGTTTCGGCCTTGCCAAACCGGACCGATGGCGGGCATAATCACTACTCACACTCATGATCCAGATACTGATGGCAGCTGCCGCCTTCTTTACACGCTGAAGTCAACATTACATTATATGAGCACACAACTACTAGTTACAATCTCTATAATTCTTTTACGTGAGTGAAAATGGAGACGAAAACTTTATTTCAGGTCTTGGTTACACGGAGGCAGCATGGAAGCTAGCGACCGCTACTAGGTAGCCCCTGGTTCGCCCCTTGGTTGCCTGGTCTCGTTCCTGGAAGCTTGTCCCTTTTTGAGGTATTTCCACTTCTTCTCAGCTCCTTATGCAACCTAAATTGGGGGAAAACGACCCGAGAAACGTAAATGCCGCTGCTGCGAAAGCGCGTTCACTGACTGTGCGCGAGGGGCTCTGGCCAACGTCATACATGGCTGCGGACTCAGGCTGGAGTTGTTCATTTGGCGCATGCAAGGGGAGATTGGGGCGGAAAGCGGGTGCAGGTAAGCGGATTGGCGGGACTTGAAGAAAGAAAAAGAGCGGGTTAATCATAGTTACGGATAATGGGCGGAGTTTTCTTTTTGGATGGTCTTTGTTACAGCATGGTAAACCAGACCAAAGACAGCACAATTGCGCGTGGCGCTGTGCATTGGCGTTGACAAAAGAGAAATGAAGCATCACGAGATGAGGTGCTGAAAGTAAAGCACAAAACCCAGTATCTACAGCTTGGTCTCAGTTCCGTGTACGTACGAATACGGAGTAATTTGTACTGTGCGCCGTTTGTTGTTCCGTTGTTGGGCTGCTGCCAGCTGCCAACGCCAACCGCCCGCCACGATGAAAGTGTCAATCGTCGTCGTCTTTGCTTTTTACAAACATCGGGGTAATCACCATCCATTAATTGTCATTATGCCGCCACTCCCACTTTCGAAAAGAAAGGAAAATCAACGCGACGCTTAGACTTCCCGCCCGCCCTGCCATCAACTGCATAAAGTATGGCGTTGTTGGGACAATGCAACAGAGTCTGGGCGCAGCCGCCACCGCGCAGAAATGATTCCACCACGAGGCAAAGTCAAAGAAAGGGTGGCCGTGGTCCGAGACATGGTCCCTGCCTCGGGCTTCATCAACACCTGCCACCTGCCTCGACCTGTGATCCTTGCCCTGGTAGCGCTCACTGCTAGTACATGACCTGCGAGTCGCAACCACGTAACGATAACACGCTCGCAACCGGTTTCTCACAGTTTGCGCTGAGACATGCGCCTGGTTGCCCAAATGGCCACAGGCCGACAAAAGAGCTGCTGAATCATCCCGTTGCATAGTATCAAGTTTCGGAAGCCGGAAGATCTTGTCTAATATCGGACGGGTAGTAATGGTCATAATGGCGTGGTAATAAGGTGCGACTCCCTCCCGCTGCCGCGCACTTCTTCTAACAATAAGGTGGCACAAAGGCATTGGCAAACTACTCATATGAGAACGCATTATTCACTAACTACTTCTATCACCACAGGCGCGCCCGCACGGCGGCCCTAGCGTTCAAGCTACCATGACTGGCCCCGGCCCTGGGAGCTCCAAAAAGGCCTCCGTCAGCTGCTAATGGCCACCTATTATGCAGCTGCCGAATTGAGATGGAAAGCAAGCGCAATTTCTTGTTTCCCTTGAACCTTGGAGGTACAGCGCAACCGGTCGGCGTTTCACTTCATCCCGATTCGCGTCCCTTTTCGCGTCCCTCTTCGCGTCCCCGTCTTCAAGCTACATTCACGAACCACAAATCAAGACCTGACGGGAGCCAACGGCTCTCATTAGCGGTAGCCGCCGTGTCGGAAATTCAAGTGCGAACAGCTCAACTGTGCACCCGTCCCGACTGACTTGCGGCCCCTCCCAGGTTCGTTCACTGACCAAGTGTCCGGATACTGCGATGAATACCAACAGCTTCATCGATCAGGGGGCCGTGGGGTCTTGACCCTTGCATCTTCTCGCTCGGCTGCATATGCCTGCATGCTTGCTGGTGAATGTGCTTGTACAAGCTTGCTTTGCTGTCGAGATCCCGGCTGTGTGGTCCGTCCTCCACCTCGTCAAAAGCCAATCGCTAGCAAGTTGCGCCGATCCTTGCCCGCCAACCCCTGTGCGCCCCCTGCTTCCTATTTTTCGGGTTCCCGTTGTCGATGCTGTGTTGCCTTGGTGGAAAAAAATGCTCAAATTGGTCATGGCCCTCGATTGAACAAGGTTGCACCAGTAACCTATCGTCCCTTCTCCTCCTCCATCTCCCCGTTCCTTTGCAAATAGTTATTCTGTAACTAGCTTCTATCAACATTCCTTTTCCCCCTTCCCACACTTTCTTTCTTGCTCCTTTTCGAGGGCCTCACTGCAGGGTCGACGATACCCGGATTTTTCGTCGTGTCTCGCCTCCGCTTCGTACTGTTTCCCGGGTCTGTTTCCAGCCTCCAGTCTGCAGGGTCCCCAATCTACGTTATTTGAAACACGATTCACATCGCACCACAGCCAGCCCGCAGCCCGCCAGCCACTGAGTGCGGAGCGAGCACCTGGGGACAGCCTGCTGTGTAATTCTCTCGCCATTTTTACTGCTTGTGGCTCGAATTTCAAGTTGGTCCTCTCCCGGTACGCCCCTTGTCACATTGGCAGTCCGTAGGGATTTTGCGCCGAGCCCGTCTCCCAACGTCCGTGCCACAACCCACGAGATCACGGGCACTGGGCTCTCGTCACTCCCCTGCAGTCAATCTAGCAGCTGATTCAAGTCGTGAAAATGGTTAACACGGCTGCACCTCTCTCCATCATTATCGAGTCCAATACGTCGTCTACAGGATCATGGGACAGCAAGAAGATGCACCCATCGCCTTTAGCTTCGCATCCTTTTCGGATCCCAACGCCGTGTTTTACTGACCTCGATATCCCCTCCGACCTGCAATTTACCTCGCGTCCTATGTCGGCCCTGAATTTTGGAGGCACGCGCACGAGCTATCTCGGAGGCGACTTACACGGCACCTTTAGTCACGGCGATGTTATCCGCCGCCGTCGCAGTCGCGACGATGTGGCTGCTCTGATTGAGTTTCTGCGCACCCACGAGCCGCCGCCCGACAACTTCATGTCGCAGCCCTACAGCGCCACGGGGGAGGAGGAGCGCGGCAGATGGGGCAAACTCAGCGTCATGGGCAAGAGGAGGAGCAAGTCCATGAGCAGAGCACCAGCTCCCCTTCAGCTGCCCGATTCCGCAGTTGCTGGTGTCACCACCGGTGGTCACCGTCACATTGCCATTTCCATCCCGCTCAACGCCTCTCACTTTGGCGACGATCCCAAGTCCCAGTACCCTGTATCCAATCACAACATTCAATCGACCATTCCGCCACTACCCGAGGCGGTCCGCACTTTCAAGAACAAAAACGGCGTCGTCACCGTTCTCAGGTCATTTTCCCCGAGCCAAAACCACAACCATCTACCGCCCAGTCCCGCCTCGCCTCGCCGCTTCGACAGAGAGTATCCTCCGCAGCTGCTACGAAACCGCCGCATGATGCCACCGTCACCTGTGCCTTCGTCTCCCGACGACTCTGAACACTGGCCGCTGGCCCAGTCCGAACCAGAGGCATCCTCTCATGCCCAGCAAGCCACGACTGCTGCCTACGATGGCACCGAAGAGACTCGTTCCAGGATTGCCTCGCGTCAGACTGCCGAATTTGTCCGCGCAGCGTATCCATCGCGCGGTTCTAGCATGGCTGCTCCGCCGCGTAGTAAGCATCATCACGCGTCCTCGATTGACGAAGTGATTGCGGAAGAACCTCATAATAGAAACCCCTCGCCCATGCCACACGATGGCGCAGTGCGTCGCAACACTGAACGACGCACGGGGCACCCGCCAGTATCTTTAAACACTTCGCCTATTTCCCGAAAATCGACCTCCAGCCTGCGACCCGCGCGGCCGGCCGACAAGCAGCCAGCAGCCAAGCAACCAAAAGTGACTCAGGTCACCGACAACCCGGTCGTCAGCCGCGTGCGGTCGCCCTCGCCGCCTGCGAGCATCAACTCTGTCAAGAGCCGCCGCGAAAAGGTGCGCGATAAGAAGTTCCGCGACATTGCGGCGGCACGCAGCTCGAAACTCGGTACGCTACCGTCCCCCACAGCGACCGAGGGCAGGAATCGGTCAATAACATCGCCTACCAAGGACCATTGCGCTCCCACAGCCACAGCTGAGTCCGGGCCGAAGCTATCAACCATTATGGTCGTCGTCGACATGCACCCAGACGACGAGGCCGCCAACAAAGATCCCGCAGCCACTGCCGACGACGACGACGCAAACTCCGTCGTCGAGGTGCCGCCCGAGTCCGTCACGACGCTCCCCACGCCACCAACGTCCACCGAGACGTCACCCGCGCAAAAGCACGGCTTCGACGGCACGCGCACGTCGCTGACCCGCCGCCGCGAGTGGCAGCAGCAGGACCGCAACACGCGCGAGGCCAGCGTCGTCGCCAAGACCACGCAGCAACCCCGACGACCACTCGTCGCCCCGCGCGCCGCCTCGTACGCCGGCGTCACCGTCACTGACCCCGAGCGCGAGATCCTGCACCTGTACGAGACCTACCGCGAGCAGCGCCTGCGCGACATGGAGAGCCGCGTGCGCCGCCTCGAGCGCAACGGCGACCTGTGGTTGCGCGCCCTCGTGCCCATGCTCGAAGATGTCCACAACAGCCGCCGCGGTATCGTGGCCGCCACATCCAGCCTCGACGACGCAACCCCCCTGCGCGACTGGGCCTCGGATGACGGGACCACCGCCAACGCAGCCGGCCTCACGCCGCGCGCCTCGCACCGCAGGCATCTTATCCGCCGCGCGAGCCTCTCCCGCGAGCGCATGCTCGAGGAGCTGATGCGTCGCGAAGAGCGTGACCTGCTCGACCGCCGCTACGGCCAGCCCGATGCCAGCGGTATGGGCTCCATCGAGCCGCTTATGCGCGAGCTCGCTGCCGGCGGCGCCCGTCCGGAGACGAGCAGCACCCGCTCGTCCAACTCGCGCCCCAGGCCGCCACCTGCCCCGCGTAGCGTCTCGGGGAGCGACGTGCCGCCGATGCCGCTGCGTCCGAGACCGGTGAGCAATCGCCTGTGGGTGTAGTTTGCCTGGTCTTGTGACGTCTTCATGTATTGTCCATTGGCGAGAAAGGGCAAGAAAGCCCTTGTTGCATTCGTTTGATTTTTCCTAGTCTGTACATGTTTATTGTCTATTAGCGATATATACCTCCGTGTCTAGACAATTTGTTCTTTTTTTTTTTTTTTTTTTTTTTGGTTTGTCTTTATTTCCTTGCTCTCGTCGTGGAGAGCAAGGAAGCTCAAAATGTGAGACCAGCAAAAAATATATCTTAATACATACCATTATGCCCCTACGCTCTTGCATTAACAACGCGGCCTTGATCGTGTGAGCCCCTGGCACACGTAGACACACCGTTACGTTGATAGGGTGAGCCTGGGACATAAATGCACAGACATACCCAAGTTGTATAGACAAGTGCGTATGGATTTGATGGAATCTTCTGTATTATATATAGTTGGGCATCATGAAATAAAAAACCATGTAGCTAATGTTCCCTAAGCTCTTCATTTTTTCTCCCATGCCTACTGGCACTGATCTCTTTCCCCGCGATATCACAGGCATTATAGCTGCACCTCCTGAAACGAATCACCATCAGCCGTCGAAGCGGGCTTCTTGGCCTCCTTGGCCTCCGCCTCCTCCTTGTCATCCTGTGCCTCTTCGGTGTCTTCTTCCTCCACCGTCACGGACGCCCTGCTGCCCTCAGGGCGCAGCGCAAATTTCTGGCCATCCTTGTCCTCGAGCCTCATCTTTTGCTCCTCATCATGGCTCGGACGGCGGGCCTTTGGTTCCACCTCGCCTTCTTTGCCCCTCGCCACCGCAGACTTCCGTTCCTCACGGGTAGGAGCGTCCTCCTGGCCCTCAACCACGCTCTCCTCACCCGCCTCCTCCTCCTTGCTCTCTGGAGGTGGTGGAGGCTGAGGCAGGTTCTTTTGCGTAGTCGGCTGCGGCGGCGGCGTCGACGTCGGCGTAGCCTCGCTCGGGGGGCCGGGCCGCATGGCATCAAGGTAAAACTTGGTCACACCCAGAATGCGGCCGTTCTTCTCGCAGGCATCGACCCACTCGGGGCGGACCACGGGTATATTCGTTTCGACAGCCTTTTCCCACGCCGTGCCGCGGCCCTCGGTCGTTACAAAGTGCGTCGTATCGATGCGCACGCCGTCGGCCATCTTGGCGCCGATGCGCTCCACCGCGCGCGCCAGCGCCTCGCGGTGCGCCGCCGGGAGGAAGCCCGCCGTAATGGTGATGCCGCTCAGGTCCGTCATTTTGTGCGTGCGCACCGCCACCTTGTCGCTCGACCGCGTGCCGGCGCTCGTCCGCAGCACCAGGTGAAACGTGTACTCGGTGTCGACGGCGAGACCGCTAATCTTGGTGCTGTGCATCTGCCGGGGGCGCGGGATCGTGCCCGCCTTCTGCCCGTTGCGGTACAGCGTCAGCGAAACGAGGTCGGCCGTGGCGAGCGCGATCGGGTCCCACTCGAGCACCACCGACGTCTGCGTCGCGTTGCGGCACCGCAAAACCGGCGTCAGGGGCGAGGCTGCGCCAAAGCAGGCATGGATACGCTCCTGCAGTGTGCGAAACTTGGCCTCCTCGGCGGATTCCTTGGTCGCATTTTGCGACACGTTGATGTCGACGATGCTGCCCGAGGAAATGTTGGGCGGCAGGAGGATGGAGGGGAACTCGATCTGAGGGGTCGGGTTGCGTTAGCTACGTTCCATCCGGTAGCAGACGTAGTTGTGGCAATTGCAGTTCAACCGGAAGTTATAGCTGCATGGGAGGTAGGGTAGAGCTTACCAGGCGTTTGTCCGGTGTCAGGAGCACCGTGACGCCGGCGTCGACCTTGCCGACGGTCAGGGACACGAGCATGGCTGCTGGGTGCCGGGGGGTTTTGCGGCGATTGTGCTGTTGCCGGTTGCTGTTGAATGAATTTTGCCAACAGTCGATGGATGTATGTGCCTCGGGATGAGACGGCTCTCTCCGTTGTCGAAAGGAAGGTGTCGCGGGCGTACAGGTGGTTGTGATGGTAATGGAGGGCTGACCTGTGAGCTGCTTTCGTGGCAGCTGGCGGAGCTGGCGTGAAGCTCAGTGGACATGGTGCAGGGGGCTAGTTAAGTGGAAAGTGCGCCATCAACTTTCCAAAAGCTGGATGGCTACCTCATACTGATAGGTAAATAATTAGTCCAGAATCCTTGTCATCTCTGTCGATCAATTTATTTTCTATCAATGGCCTTTCTGATAAGATGCTGCCATCGCTGTTTGTAGGTCGCGCCGCTGGCTGGCTGGCTGCCATCACAACAGCGTCACGTGATTCATCCTGTCTGTGAGCTGCGTTTTGACAATGGCGGCTCAGTTCTGTGATGTTTTCTACATTCTGTTTATATTCAGCCGTCAATTACTCCAAGCATTTGAGCCAATCCTCAAGTGGGATGCACGGCAGCGTTGCGTGAGTTCGTGGTAACCCAATGCGTGGACAACTGTTAGTGCAGATGTATGTACTGAGGTTGGAGTTAATAATCTCGTCGTTATTTAGGATGCATTGTAGTACTACTAATTCTAGTCTTTACAGCTGATTTATAGGTTCGGATGCCCGAGACAATTACAGCTCCTGGTTATCATACGCGTTCCACTCGGACCAGCCCCTGGTCTCGCCGGGCAGCTTGATGGCCTTCCATTCCTCCTCCTTGACTCTGTTCCACTCATCGACCGGAATCCATCCGATGTAGGCACGATCGCCGAATCCGCCGACCCAGTATACCTTGGTCACGACCAGACGCGCCCACTCGCTCGTGTGGATGTGGTTGCCCGGCAGCCAGTACTTGCTATCCGGGTGCTTCTTGATGTAGCAGTTCTTGAGCTTCTCTGTCTGGGCCGCGTCCGCGTTGAATGGCTCCAGGTAGCCAAAGAGTGCAAAGCGCGCCAGGTTGTCGGCCGAGTAGGGCACGGTGTCGGGGATGCTAGGGTCGGCCGAGTTGGGGGGGGCGCCGCTGCCGCGGCCAAAAAAGGACCGGACGAGCTCCGTGACGCCGATGCGCTTGGCAGGCGGGTACGGCGGCACCCACTGCAGAGACACAGTGAGGTTGGAGCCGGCGTCGACGTTGCGGAACGTGGTGCCAATCTTGATGGCCAGAATAGTCGGGTTCCCGTGGTCTTCGCAGTCGGCTACGTAGTCGACGAGGCTAATGGGCTGGCCCTCGACGCCGTTATCGGCAAGTGTGCTGCGGCGGGACTTCTTGCTGGGGAAGACGGTGGCGAAGCTGCCTAGCTTGCTCAGGCCCAGGATGCGGCGGCCCATGACGGCCGACTCGTAGCTGGTCGGGACGCGATGCCCGGCGGGAGCAGCAGCTGGCGGCACGTCGCTGCTGTCCATGGCCTGCTGGTCGGTGGCCAGGGCACTGGCTACGGTGCCCACGATGGCGAGGGCGAAGGAAAGCTTCATGTTGAGGGGTTGGTGCTAGAGACAAACGGTCCGCGGCTAAGGTGAAACGGGGCAACACAGGATGGAGGTGAAGGGTGTGTCTCAGATTCCGAGTCGAGGCTGCAGCTCCGTGCCTTTAAATAATACTGCAGGATAAGAATGGGAAAAAGCCGCAAAAGAATAGATGCCAAGGAGTGGCGTGACAATTTCTGCAGAGAGAGGGGGAGTTGTCGGACGGCGGTTTACGAAGCAGGGAGGGTCCATTCGGCTTTAATAAATGCAACCCCAGAACGTCTGGCAGGTGATTAACTCGGGTGGAGCCTTCCGTATGTATGTACGAGCTGATTGATAAGATTAGATCAGCCGTTGCACCTGCCAACCCTACAGCCGTTACACTGGCTCAACGCCACTGTGCTCCGCGGGATTTTTTTTTCTTGACATATGTTTGGTCATGTATATTTGGTGGAACACGAGCAACTATCGATTTTTAGGCACGCCATTAAGTGGACAGTTTTTAGTCAACAACGTCGCCATTGCATTTGTGGACTGCTGCAATATTTTCCGTAACACTACATCTGACGGCGATTCGGCTTCCGAATATGGACACATGCAGAGGAAACTGCCAATAGCTGACGTTTGAATTAGAAGAGAGCGATAAATCGAACGTATAAATTCCCATTCTTACCACAAAGCTAAGATGTATACATGTTCAGATATAGACAATTTTCCCACTACGTCAAATCCACAAAGCAATCATCGTCACACCCCGCCCTTGTTCCAACGAAAATTACCTCGTCGTCAGCGTCCCCCATGACGACATCGTCCATAGCTGGCGAAAGTCGCACCTCGTCAAAATACACACTCTCCGCCCCTGAAGAATCCGAATCGTCGTCAATGACCATGACATCCTCATCCGGCAGGCAATCTACATTGTCCTCCCGCAGCAGCCATTCGTGCAGGTGCTTGTACAGCACGTACACTGTATTGGGCGGGAACGCGTTGCCAATTTGCCGCCGAATCTTGGTCTTAGTACCAACGAAGCGGTGCGTCGCGGGGAAGCCTTGTAGGCAGGCCAGCTCGCGGAGTGTAAAGTCGCGACGCCCGCTCGGGTGGTAGGCGTTGGCACCGCCGGTCGTAATAGTGCGGCCGAGGGTGTGCGCGTCCCACGCCGGGCGAGGCGGGTCAAACGACTGCACCTGATCCGGCCGGTGCAGGTCGTCATCGGCGCGCACACGCGCGAGGGTACTGGCTACGGTATTAAACCGCTTCGTGCCGTTGCGGCCGTGTTCCGAGTGCGTCGGGGCGGGAAACGGCGGTAGACGCTCGCCCGGTGCAGAAGCAATCAAGATGAGGCGTTTCCGGTCTTGCGGCGAGCCCCAGGTACAGAGTCGGATGATGCTCCATCGGACCGAGTAGCCGAGGTCGGTAAAGTCGCGGATGAGGGCCCAAAAGTGTTTAATGTGCTTAGCGTGCGTGATACCAAAAGTCTGCTCGAGGGTGACGATGCGAGGCTGCGTCTGCTTAATGAGGTTGCGACAGGTATAGAGGGCCTCGGTGTTGGCGGCGTCGTTGGGACCGGTATGGGTATGTGCAGGCGACCAGACTTGGCACGGCGGCGACAAGTGCAGGACGTCGACTGGCTTCCGCGACTTCTTGCCGGCGTACTTCTTAGTATCGCACTCGTAGAGGCACGTGTACGGAAAGTTGCCGCTATAAGTCCGCTAGACTTCGGGCTCCTTGTCGATCGCGTACCGTACCTTAAAGCCTGCGTCCTGAGCGCCCCGAGATACCCCTCCAGCTCCGGAAAAGGAGTCAAAAAGTGTATACGACTGATCAGGGCGTCGTGATATCGGTGCTTGGAGTGGTCTTTCTTCTGGCGGCGCGTTCCAAGCTCCCCCGCGTTTACGAGGGCCTCGCCATAATTCCGAAGTTTTAATGTCGGGTACGCGGTGTTCATCGCTAACTAGGTCTTCGCTTCGTAAATGTTGGATCATTTCCTCTTCTGCCTTGGTTTTGTTCGCGGCGTTGATTGAGTAAATGATGGTGATGCTCCATCGGCAGATAATGGGCCCTGATCTCTCAACCACTCTCCTTTGCTGCTCCAGTGAGCGGTGCGGACGGGCGTATCGGTCCACGTCGACGGTGTGCGCTGGATATCTGGCATTTGTTAGGATGAGTTTTCGCCAGCGAATAACGCAGTCTGGCAGCACGTCAACTAATACTGGGGGATCGGCTTTCTGGCCGGGCTGCTGGTGGATGTGAAGAACCATGCAGACTTCGTTGACTCTATCCCGGACTTTTTCGTTCAAATGTCGTAGCCTAGTGAATGGTATTCCACGGATGTGGATAGTCCCATAGGCATCGCGAATGATGGCCGTGACTCGCACAAAGTCAATCTTCAGCTCGCCCAAATATGTGTCGCGGACTGCAATGCAGTTGTTAGGCTTGACTTCAGTACCGCATGGTGCCGTCACCGAGTCAAGCTCGGTCTCGTCGGCGCGATGGTGCTGAATCAACCTTTCCGAATCGTCCTTGGTCAGGTCGATGACCTCAGCGGCAAAGAGTACATTAGACTCTGCATCCTCTTCAACTATCTCGCAATATTCATCGTCGTCCGTGATGTCGGGGAGTAGAGTGGAAGTCGATGCCACGCTTACTGATCTGTATCGATTTCGGTATCGCGGGCGGACGTAAATGTCGTCGTCGCTTCTTGTATCCTCCCAAGGGAGCACCATGTCCTATGTGAAGGAGCGTATTATGCAATTATAGTAACGGATAAAGCGGAAATAAAACGGAAAATCCAATTGCAGTTGCAACGAGCACCGATAATTCCAACAACGCAAAGAAAATGTAATCGCAACAGAGCAAGCAAGGGTGGCCGGAACAGAACAAGGGACGCTGACGACACAACAGCCTTCCCGAGGAAATTTCGATCCCGAAAAAATTCGATGTGTGGGAAAGAGGAAGCCCTCGAGAAGCGAGGTTGGGCGTAATAGAAGGCGGAAAATGGTGTGTAGGTTGCGCTGCGTGAACCCTAGGAGCAGTGACTGCCACGGGCCCACAGCAGGTGAGAAGATACTGACATGGGAATTTTGCGGTACCCCGAATCAACCTGCCGATAATGATGCATTACCGAGATCGTACTCGTCCTCGGATTGTGGCAAGTCTGAAGGGTGCTCTGTTCCTAACGTGGTGAAGTGGAGGTTGAACCGCCGAGCTTGGAGCATGAGTTTATTGGGGAATGCTTTCGCAGCGCGCCGTGCGAAGCTCCAGCCCAACTCATCCCCCACACCGAGTCTCTTGCTGTAAAAATAGAAGAGACAAACTGCCTGCGAAAGTTCTCTCCGTACGCTAAATTAGCACAGCTTCCTGTATCGCTTCGTCGACATGATGTCTGCGGATCCCTGGGGCCGGCCCGAGACAGATGCTCCGACGCGACAGCCCCGTAATCAGCTTGTCCACATCGATTGAAATCTTGCCCTGCGGCGGCATAGCCAGCTGCCCCATCCCTTCCGGCGTCGCCACGACGGCGCGCGAGCCGCGGGGCACATCCTGCTGCTCGTCGAGCTGCATGCCAAAGATGGTCCAGTCGGGCAGCTCCGGCTCCCAGCACGGCTGCGCAGACGTCGGCGAGCTGTCCCCCTCGGCGTCGCTCCCGCCGAGACGCAGCGTGACGACCTTTTGCGCCGGATCGCGGACGTGGATGCCGCGCTGTGCCAGGTACTCCTCCACATCGACAGCCTCGAGCCACTCGCCCGCGAGCGCCGGCACGTCCGTGTCGAACCACGTGCGAGTAAGGCCGTATTGCAGCCGCTGCAGCTTAGGCGGTGCCAGCCGCAGCACCGTGTAGCCCACGCCCTCCGTCTTGCGGTACAGCGGCGGAAGGATGCACCGTCCGGCGTAGTCCATGTCGGTCGCGCCCGGCGTCTGCGTCTGCGGCTGCGCCAGCAGCATCTCGCTGGGCCGCGCGTCGAGGCCCGCGAGCAGCTCCGGCGTGAAGCACCCCAGCCCACCGGTTTTCAGCGATTGCAGGTTCAGCTCGGCCACAGCACGCGTCAGCCGCTCCGAGAGCACCCGCCGTGCGCACGTTGTCTGGGCGCAGTCGAGCAGCTGGCAGCCCAGCGTGTCCTGCGCCTGCACGCCGCTGCTGTGCAGGAGGCTGGAGATTTCGAGCGACGTTTGGGACACAGCGACGGCGACATCTAGCGGCACGTGGCCAGCGGGCTGCTGGAGGAGCGAGGTCTGCAGACTGCGAAAGGCGGAGAGGGTGCCGCGCAAGGCGCTTTCCAGCGCGGTGGCCTTGAGCTCAGCAGCGGCGAGGGCGTCGTGCTTCTTGGAGCGGTACTTGCGCTGCGCCAGACGCATTCGGGCCCGACGGGACTGGTGTGTGTGTAAGCCGCGGTGGATTTTGATTGTGTCCAGCGCAGCGGCGGTCCAGGAGTACTCACACTCTCTTCATCGTGGCCGCTGATGTCGGCGTCGGGTTCCTCCATCCGAGGCCGGCCAGCACGGGGCTGTTGCGTCTGCATTTGTGATCCCTGTGGTGTTTCCATAGCTCGTATCAGTCGTGATATGCGTCGTTTTGTGCTTTCGCACACAAAACTGTTTGTATATACTGCGGTGTTGTGAGATGCAAAACGACAAACGGTGCGAACCCGCGTCACAGCTTGGACAAGTCAGACTCCACTTTCCGGTTCGGGCGGGTGACAGCCAATCGGGTGTTACGCTGCTGTTCTACGGGCTCCACAATTTGTCTATGCTCGGTATCGGAGTCCGACGTATTCGTCTACAATAGGGAGAATCTGAAATGGATTGTCTAGGATAGGCCGTGGGATAGAAGAGGTAGATTTATGGATCTGGAGCCGGGGAAGTTGTGGGAGTTTGTGGGCTGCTGGAAACCCCCAGATGGCTACCAAACAGGCCTGCATGATCGGTCCTCGTTTGCAGAGCAAAGCCGTCTCTGATCTAAATTCGGAAATAATTCTTCCTCCAATTCTTTATGCTGTCTTCCGTCTACCATAGACGAACCACCATCAAAGTCAAGTCCAATCCCTCGTCGTCCAACCCTCACCATCAAGCAGCCATCCTCTCTCCCCGTCGCCATGCTTCCATCACCACACAAGCTGGAAGCCGTCATCAATTACATAGCCACACCGCCCATCAACAAGTGCTACCTCCTACCTCTTCTTCATGCAACGCTAGATAAGCGCCGTTGGTTGAGCCGTGTCACCGGACGCCGCCCAGGCCAAGACGGATTCACGATCACCCCGAAGAGACGACCAAGGACGACAAAGGTAACACAACATGGCAGCTCGTTGTGCAGACCGCAAGATAATGCCCGACGTGTGTTTATTTGTCCGCTTCGAGATTGATTACGCCGATCATCGGTTACGTCCACGGGGGTTCCCCAGAATGCTGGCAACCAGCGCACAGACACACTTGTTGGAGCGTTGGCAAACCCGGTCAACTCATCGTAGCACGCACAGGCCCGTCGCCAACACCATCTGGAGAAGAGATGGACAAGAATTCACTGCGGTTGACCTTATAGCTGATGCGCATCGCTGCAGTTCCAGAACCTCATCAACTTGCTCAATCATCAGACATTTGCCTTCTCGTGTGGTTCCCGCATGGCCGGTGACCAACACTGAGAGCATTGAGACAGCGCACTGGCACGCAGGACTTTCTTTGATGGCGTCATCGGGGCGACTACGGCCGAACACCGCTCAGGCCCTTGTCGCCGACTTCCGGCCGGGTAGGCAGGACAGTCCTTGTCGTTTTCGGCAGGCCGCTACGTGGGCGAGTGAATTTATGTGGTTTTATGTAAATTCGTAGGATGGCGGCTTCTTTGACGGGTTGGCGACGCCACTGCACCCGTTCATTTACTGCATGCCAGCTTGGAGGGGCGCTGTTGGTTGGCCAGCTGATTGGTTCCACATGCGCGCGTGCATGCAGCAGCACGGTGTAAACATTTTTGAGGTGCAGAGAAGGAACTTTCGTTTGGTTTGCTCCAGCCCCATGGCTTTTTTACTGCCTGTGCTTGTACTGTCAATGAAACGGGGGATAAGGCTGAGTGTGACTGTGGCCCACCGCCGTGTCGCACCATGGACGGCTCCCAGCCAGCTATATCCGGGAAGCTTTAGGAACTGCTTGTTGCAAAGCCTGGCAATTTGCTGTCTTTGCTTCTTTGTTTCATACACCGCTGCCGCTGCCAGCGTCTTACCGGCTTTGTTGTGAGCCCACAGCATAACGCTCGAACCGGGCGCATTGGAGTCTCTTTGGACACTAATGCAGAACGTCATGGCGCATGTATAAGTACGTCTGCAGGTCCCTCCAAGGTGCATCGACCAAGCATCACAGATCTAACTCCTCCTTTACACAATGTATTTCTCGAAATACTCGCTCTTGGCTATGGCTGCGACAGCTTTGGCTGCTCCCAGTACAAGCTGCAAAGGTGCCGTCCTCTCCCCCCTCGAAGAACCCTGACCACCAGTCACTAACCAACTCTGCAGACTTGCAACGCAGCAATCCGCCTCGCAACTTTGGCGTCGTCATGTACAACTCGTTCGACCTGCTCGATATTTCCGGCTCCGTCGAGCCCCTGTTCCTCCTCTCCTCGCAGCAGCGGCTCAACCTCAGCCTCATCGCGGAGACGCTCGAGCCCGTGCACATGCGCCCGGCGCCGGGCGAGAGCTACACGGCGGGCTCCCACTTCCAGCTGTCCATCAACCCGACGCACACGTTCGCCGACCCGCCGCCCGACATTGACGTGCTCTTCGTGCCCGGCGGCGGCGGCGAGCGGTTCGGCGACAACTCGGCCGCCGTCGACTTTGTGCGCCGCACGTACCCCAAGGTCCGCTACCTCATCACCGTGTGCACCGGCGCCGGCGTGGCCGCCCAGGCCGGCGTGCTCGACGGCAAACGCGCCACGACCAACAAGTGGGCGTGGAAGGACGTCGTCTCCAACGGGAACAATGTGCAGTGGACGTCGCCGGCGCGCTGGGTCGTCGACGGCAACATCTGGACCGCGTCGGGGGTCGTGTCCGGCATTGATGTCATTTTTGAGTTCATGGAGACGTTTTATGGCGAGGAGATTGTGCGTCTCATCCAAAACGCAACCGAGCATAAGCGCACGTATGACCCGTGCGATGATCCTTTTGCAGCCTGGAACAAGGTCCCGCCCAGCGGTGACTGCAGACTGACGCCGTACTTACATCACGAATAGATTGACAAGTGGTAGAGATGTTTCGTGATAAAAATGTATATATGTTACTTACTCCACATCCTTCCATATCAACTCTAACCGGAATATCTCCATCCACTCGTCTCCGCGGTTCGCGTCCGCCATGCCTTGCTGCATGTTGTTGAACATTTGCGCGCCCGTTGCTCCATTCTCCGTCTCGTACCAACCAATCGAGCTGTTCCCGTGCAGGTTGCCATCGTCGGTGCCAGAGAGCACCGACATGCTGTTCATGCCCTTGTACATGAGACTCAGCTGGCCCTGCTGCATGGCCTGCATCATCCTGATGTCCTTCATGCCGCGGATAAAGGTGATGCGCGGGACCGTCTGCAGCCAGACCTCCAGTCTCCTGGTGCCAAACGCGCGGAACTTGATCAGCTCCTCGTCTGACGCGGCTGAGCCCGGTGCGCCCGCATCGCAGGCCGCCTGCCACATGGTGCGCATCCGCGGGGACCAAATCTGGCAAATCTGCGCGCGCTCGTCGTATGCGCCCTGCAGGGGCATGTGGTCGCTGAGAGGGGTGTGCCGGACATATGCCAGATAGCAGTGCTCGCAGAAGAGCGCCTCGCCGTACCCCCACCACTTGGTCTTGTCGGCCGAGTCGCGGCCAGGGCACGCCTTGACGCCAGCAAAGGTGCGAATGTGGTCGGCGAAGCAGCTGAAGATGCCGCGGTCCAGCGTTTCCACAAACTTGTTCAGGTACTCGTTGAAGCGCGGCGCGGCCGTGCAGAAGTCGCAGATGATCGTCTCCTCCGGCCCGCGCTGCTTCGGCTCGAGAAACCGGTCGAGTCCGTAGGGCTTCATGATGCCCTCGTGGCAGGCCTCGCACAGGTCAAAGTCGTCGCAGCCACCCTTGACCGTCCACCAGTTGCCGCGAATGACGCCGTATTTCGTGCAAGGTACTAGTTTGACAATGGCCGAGGCGGATTTGTAAAAGGCGGCAAAGTCCTCGTTGGTCTCGGCGACTTCCAGCGCAAACATCATAGGCAGCGAGCTGCTGGGTAGCGAGCAGGTCCAGCGCTGGCGCAAATATTCAATGTATTCGTCAACGTTGGTGGACCCTGGTATCTGTTCATACTCGGCGGAAAACGGATCGAGCTCGACCTTGTCCATGTAACACGCCTCGCAGACTTGAAAGTTGTCCAGCTTTTGTCGCGTTGTGTACCAGCTTCCACTGTCTGCTCGGGAAGTTTCCTTGCCCTCGCACGCGGGCGCCTTGAATCGGCGGCTTGCACCCTCGACAAACGCACGCCAGTCGTTGCGCTTCGAAAAAGTCGCAAGCGCCTTTGGAACGTATTGGATACTCGCATCGCACGTCCACCGATTCTCCTTTTGCTCGTGCTTGTACGGTTCGAACTGTGACTCAAACGCGGTACCGGCAATGTGGTCTTCGAAGCACGCCTCACATGCGATGAAGCCGTTTATATCGTCGTTTTTCATGCCATAGTACTTGATTCCACCCGCGCCCGAAGTGGTTGCTCGCCCCTTGCAATTGGGCACGACAAGGCGGTGGGACAGGAAGGCTTTGAGACTCTCGACGCTATGCGATTTCAAAGCTGCCGGCCAGAGAATATTCTGGACGCGTGCATAGCGAAAGTGGCAGGAAAGCACAGTGTCTGGCCCGGCGAGTCTCCTTTCAAACTTGTCCGCCAACGGCGTGGACTCGATATAATCCGCATAGCACCTCGTGCAGATCGGAGAGTCGGGGAGATCAGCCAAGTAATGCCAATAAAGCGGATAGTCTACCAATCTGTGTTGGGGACAGAAACGGACTACCTCTTTTCCGGGGCCGTCTTCTAGGATCGGGGGTGGTTGAGTGCGCTTTTTGTTCTGGTGGCTCCTAGTTTCCGCCTCGGGTATCTTTGAAGGGGCGCTCAAACTGAGACTGGACATTTGTTGTTCGACTGACGATGAGGCAGTATTGTCTGGTTTTTGGTTCTCCTCAATTTGAGCTCTCGGCAGTGCACTTGGTCGCGTTTCTATTGCTGGTGGCGCGCTGTGCGTTGCGGGCTCCTGTTGTATGATAGGTTGTGGCTGAGTTTCGTAAGTGGCCACTATCACAGGAGGTGCAGCATAGGTTCGCGATTCCCCAAGTTGCTGGCTCTGCGATGAAGTCTCATGGGTTGTGGGATCGCCTATATAATAACCGTCGCCGTTCGCACGCGCATACAATCGCTGTGTTGATTGCTGCCCATAACGGCCATCCACGATTGGCGCAGGAGTTTCAGCAGCAGGTCGAAAACCTGCTGTAATTTCATGTGATTGCTGCTGAAACTGGGAATTGTCGTTGAGACTGTTTCTATTTTCACCATATGCGCTCGTGCCTAGTGGCTGAACGGACGGAGGTGCGGTGTATTGCGAGTATGTGGCGCCATTCGAGGAAGTTGGCGGTATGTACGACGGAGGCGGCGGCGGCATAATGGAGCCATACGAGTACTCTGGTCGTGATGGCGCTGCGCTTTCATAGTTATAGTTGACAGGTAAATTTTGCGGCGCTGGTTGCGAATGATAATTCGGCTGCGGCTGCGGCTGAGGTGGTTGATACTGTCTGGGAGGCAATGGCGGCGGCACTCCATTGTACGTTGCGGCATATTGCTGGTGCTGCTGCTGCTGCTGCTGCGGGACAGGCTACGGAGGCGAATAGCGACTTAGCAATGTTCATCAGTCAAATCTTTCTTCCGGGATTGAATATTTGTTACCGAATATGAGTTGGTGTTGCTGCCGGAACTGGGCGCGCCATAATAACCGCTGGTATCGTCATTGCCAGTGTCGCGCTGCCTGGCCAGGTGCTGCTGAAGTTGTTGCTGCCCAATGGCTACGCCTTTGGCGATGCCACTTTTGACAGCCTTTGCGAAGAGGTCCATGATGTGAAGCCGGGGGGCCGCCTTTCCTCGTCAGGGTCTCGTCAGGGTCCGTCGCGGACTCTCAGGGGCGCATCGTGACCTTTTATCTATGCACCTCTTACTGCAAATCGAATCAGCCGCGGATACGAGACTTTTTAGACTTTGAAATAAGAAAGTCGCGGGCTTCTGGGAGATTCAGCCTTAGACCCGCTTGCTTGACGATGGATGGATGAAGCCACGCTTCGACACGGGTCTAGACCTGGAGTCTTGAGTATGCATGCTATCAGCTGAACGCCTCAGACTCCTCAGACTGCCTTGTGATGCAACACAAAGATTGTGTGGTGGGGTATCTGGGAATTACCCATCACGTATCCTTATAAACGTGTCTTGCCTTCAAAGGCTATGTTCTATAGTTAATCTGTACCTTTCTCCCTTTTTGACTCAAATCGCGATTAGCCTCGGAACGCCATGATTCGGCCCTCTTGCTAGGCGCTCTAGCGAGGTTGCTGAAAAGCCCTGCCGCGCACACGAATGCTGTTATCACTGCTGGGACTTGGCAACTTGTTCAAACGTGCGCTAAAAACGCCGGGGCTGAAATCTTTGGCTGCGATTTTCTTTCTGCCCAGTAACGTAACTGCCCTCACGCATGCTCTCACGCCTTTGTAGCTGGTTCAAGACTGCTACCCTTGACTCACTAATGGTGGAATGCTACGTGCATAAAATGCGCACAGCCTGGCCTCATGCAGCTATTATTGGTAAAGCAGTTGGCAAAAGTCTCGAGCTTGAGCTTGAGTGGCATTGGGCAGTTTTGAACCCTTTGTTTCGCTTGCTCAAGGCAGTCATTGGGTGGGTGGCAATCAATGTTGAAAGACAGATAGACAGTGTCACTATATACCTACGCATCAGGGGGGCATGGGCAGAGGTGCTTCAAACCCAGGTGTAACCAAGGCAAAGTACAGGCGCAGAGATAACTTGCGCGTGATACTGGTGGACAAAGAGACAAGCCTGATGAATACATAGAAATATAGAAAGTAGCCACAGATGACGTAGTCACTGCCAAATCTGGGTCTGGTCGACCATGTTGCCAGGGCTCTGAGTCGTCTAGTCGTCCTCTGAAGCAGCTTCGGCGCGACCGCGCCCCTGGATGGGCCAGCTACACTGCGCCCTGTGTTTTACTGCGACTCGCGCTACCCCAGGGCCTATCACCTAGTTATGAAACTTGTCAACCAACTGGAGGACGGATAGCCAGTTGATGTCTTATTACGAAAGAGCTGGTTGTCCTTGAGTCTTCAGGCCCTTGTACTGGTAAATCCAGCACGTTCGCTCATGTATCCTAAAAATACACATGATGGGTCCCAGCTCACTTTGGAGGATACAAGTCTGGCATTTTCAAGCGTGATGCAGTTTCTCTCTGGGGAAGAGATACCTGGTATCTCTCATCAGTAACCTCTTTTCGTTTTCCCAGGCAAGTGGCTGTGTGTTAGATGTCGTGCCACCAACCCGGACCAGATGTCGCACTGGTTCACGGGCTTTCTACCCTGCAACAGTCGGCCTAGTTTGGGCAAGGAAAGTTTAGCGACCCAATCACAAGAGATCTTCCCACTGTTCCACACAATCGGAGGCAATTCTACAAAAAGCTTTCTCACCCAAGTCCAAGTCTGGGGTATGCTGCGCCTTGCGACGATGTAGAGGACAATCCGAGCAGAATGACAGAGAGGATACGAAATTATCGCGCTGGGTCGGAGCATTCATCAAGATCGGTTGGATCAAGGAAGGAGACAAAGGACAACAATCCACACTTGAATCCGACGAGAATGCTTGAAAGCGGGACCGAACGCGCGTCGTAGGATGCAGAGCGGGACAGGGCTGAAACTGCTGGCCAAGATCTCTTGCCATGACAGCGGAACACTCCGTAGCATTGTTTTACAGTTGACGCTAACTTTTAGCGATGCTCAGTAGTCTGCCGAGTTGCGAAGACGCTTTTCATCTTTCATCCTCTGTCCAGGCCATGAAGCAAGCATGGCGTGAAGCCCGGGCCGGACGTGCGGCGTGTGCGGCGTGTTCACCGAAAAGAGACCTCGCTTCTTCACTTGCTCCATCTACACACAAAGTTTCCCAGCACCAGAGGCTATTCCGCCCGACATTCCTGATGATTCCTTCCTACAAAATAGAATGACTTAACTAGTTAGTCGCAAAGTGTCAAGATGGCATCCTGCTCGCTACGATACCAGATCGCCCCCTGCCTCCCTATGCCGTTTACGTCGTAGTAACCGACCATGTTCCTGACTAACTTTGGCCCGTGTGTGTGGAGCTTGTGTGCGAGGTTCTTCGCATTCGTCGGAATCGCCCTGTGATGGACGGGGCCGCCGCCCAGGGGTGGAGGGTGGACAGACGTGAAGCATCCATACGAGGCACAGGGCTGGCGTCGGCAATAGAGCGGCCAACCTGTGCGAGGGCCAGCTGCGCCATGCGGAGTCCCTGCCGACATGATGCTATTTGCGCTCGCTGCATGCCATCCTCGCCAGCGCTTGGCAAAAAAGCCCCCCTGCATGCCTACACGACCCGTCTATCCATAACAGACGTCCACATATGGCGGGACCAGACCATATACATAAGAAGATTGGCATCCCCATGGACACTGGCCCAGAATGAGCTCGTAACTAGTGCTGCTGTTATATACGCATCTATGCTTGGTACTGGCAGAGATCACCAGTTACACGACAAGCCGTCTTCACCATGGCGCGCGCCGCCTACCCTCTGAGGCTCCTCGCCGGCCTCGTCCGCAAAAACACCCTCAACCACATCGTCCGCCACCCCGTCAGCTTCATCCTCACCTTCTACGTCATCCCTCTCGTGCTGCTCCCGCTGCTGCTGTCGCTGCCCAAGCTCATCACCGTGCAGCAGGTGACGGGCGCCGCCGACCCGGCGCCCATCAAGTCCCTCGCCGACACAGTCCAGCACAAGCTCGTCATCGTGCGTCCGGACGGCCTCGGCCCCGACGTGCAGCGCGTCGTCGACGCCCTGACGAAGCCCATCGCCGCCGACAAGGTCCAGATCCTCAAGACGGACGAGGAGCTGTTCCGCACCTGCAGCGAGGTTGCCGGCCAGAAAGGCGCGTGCCACGCCGCCGTCAGCTTCTACGACTCCCCCGACACGCCCTCGTCGGCCAACCGCACCTGGACGTACACGATCCGCTCCGACGCCAAGGATGGCAGCACCGCAGACTACATCGCCCACCGCAGCCAGGCGGACAATGTGTTCCTCCCGCTGCAGCTCGCCATCAACAACGCCATCACCAACACGACGACGGTGCCCGAGACGTTCATGTTTGCGCGCACAAAGGACAGCAACGACGCTGCCAAGAAGGGCGACGCCGCAAACATCATCGGCAGTGTGCTGCCCTTTGCTCTCTTCGGCTGCTTCTTCATCATGATTTACAAATTCACCTCGTGGATCACGCAGGACAGGGACTCGGGCATGTCGCGGCTGATGGATACCATGGGCGGCTCGTGGTGCCTGCCCTTGCGCGTTCTCAGCTGGATCGTCGTCGTCGACATGACCTGCTTGCCGCTCTTCATCGTCTTTGGCATCATGTACGCGAAGCTGGCCTTTCCCGCCTCGGACGTGATGCCACTAATTGGCTGGCAGATTCTTCTCGGCTTCGCCGTCAACAGCTCGTCCACCTTTGCAGCAGCCTTCTTCACCAAAGCGCGCGTCTCGTCCATTTACATCGCCGCCATGTTCATCATCCTGTCCCTGGCCATGCAGCTGCTCATGGTCCGCGCCAAGCCCTCGCCCCTTCCCGACGTCATCTGGGCCCTGTCAGGCGTCTTCCCAAGCTGCAACCACGCCCTATTCACTAAGCAAATGGCCTACTGGAAGCTAGCAGGGGCCCGGGCCGACTTCTCCTCATTTCCATCCGGCGATGCCTCTCTGATGGACTTGCGCGTCGTCAAGCAAAACATGCTTCTTCTGCTACTCGCCGCGCAGACGGTGGGCTACGCCGTGCTCGCCATGGGCGTCGAGTGGTTGTTCCACGGTGTGAGCGGCCGCAGCCGGACGTTTCGGCCCCGGGGCAACGACCTCAACGAGCCGTCTGTCAAGGTTGACAACCTGAAAAAGGTCTTCAAGCCCGGTTTCTGGAAGTGGATGTGCTGCTGCGGCCGCCGCGGCTACAAGACGGCCATCAAGAGCGTCACCTTCCAGGCCTACCCGGACCAGATCCTCTGTCTCGCGGGGCCCAACGGCTGCGGCAAGACGACGACGCTGCAGGCCATGGCCGGCTTCGAGCGTCCCAACGCCGGACGCATCACGCTCAGCGCGCGCCGCGAGGAGGTCGGCATCTGCCCGCAGCAGAACACGCTCTGGGGCGACCTCACGGTACGCGAGCACGTCCGGCTCTGGTCGCAGATCAAGGGCGGCCGCGAGACCGAGGCCGACATCGACGACCTCATCGCCGCCTGCGACCTGGCGAAGAAGAGGGACAGCCGCTCGCAGACGCTCAGCGGCGGCCAGAAGCGCAAGCTCCAGCTGGCATGCATGTTTGTCGGCGGCTCCACGATTTGTCTCATTGACGAGTGCACGTCGGGCCTGGATCCCCTCTCGCGCCGCGCCATCTGGGAACTCCTCCTCCGGTACCGCACCGGGCGCACCATGATCTTCACGACGCATTTCCTCGACGAGGTCGACGTGCTGGCGGACCGCATCGTGGTGCTGGCCGACGGCGGCGTCCGCTGCCAGGGCTCGCCCGCGGAGCTCAACACCGAGTACGGCAGCGGGTACAAGGTGATTGTGCCCGACGACGGCCGCGCCTTTCTCCCGGCCATGGACGGCGGCGCGCCGTGGCAGCACACGACGCACCAGGGCCAGCTCGTCAGCACGGTGCCCGACTCGGCGACGGCGGCGCGGCTCGCGCGCGTGTACGTGGAGAATGGCGTGACGGACATTTCAATTGCCGGCTCGCAGTTCGAGGACATCTTCCTGAACCTCATCGGCAAGCCCGACACGCTCGAGAGCATCAACAGCAACAGCAACCTGCTGGCCGACGACAAGGGCTTCGCGCTGTCGCCGGCGCGCAGCACCACCTTTGCGCGGCAGCTGGGCGTGCTGCTGGGCAAGCGCTTCCTGGTGCTGCCGCGGCTGTGGTGGCCGTACTTCTTCGCCGTCATGGTGCCCATCTGCGCCGCGCTGGCCATGCTCATCATCAGCGCCAGCTACGAGGTGCCGCGGTGCGCCGACACCCAGCCGGTGCTCGGCCCCGCCCAGGCCGAGACGTTCTGGTACCCCGAGTTCTGCGCCAAGCTGGACTCGTGCAACCAGATGATCCTGGCGCCGCAGGACGCCAAGGCGACGCTGCGCGGGCTAGTCGAGAAGCCGCTTGACGACCTGCGCGACGTCAACGCGACCGTGCTTGATTCGTACGTCGTGGCGCTAGATAACCGCCAGAGCTGGCTCGACTATGTCCAGAAGAACAGGGATACCAGCTCGTACAGCGGCATCTTCACTGGCTCGGGCAGCGAGGCGCCCGTTATTGCCTATCGCCCGATTTCGGACTCCCGGCTGACCAGCTTCGAGATGCTGAATCTGTGGAGCGAGATGAAGAGCAATGTCCAGATCAAGGCCACCTACGGCAAGATCCAGGCTGTCAAAACAGTAAGCAGCTTCTCATATCCCCAATACTGAAGATGGAGAACTAACATGGAACTAGTTTGACTACACCGTCGCCGTCATGTACTGCATATTCTTAACCCTCGTCCTGTCCGTGTTCCCGCCCGCCTTTGTCTTGTACCCGGCCATCGAAAAGGCCAGCAAGACTCGGTCGATGCAATATGCCAACGGCGTGAGCCCCGGGCCTCTAATTGTGGCCTATCTCTTGTTCGACGCCATCTTTATCACCGTCATCTCCATCATCCTGGCGCCCATCATCAGCGGCCCCATCCAGGCTTGGATTGGCTCTGGCGCGCTACTGGGAGTGGCCCTGGTCATGTACGGCCTCGCCACCGTTCTCGTCGGACACATTGCCTCTCACTTCTCCGTTGGGCCCCTCAAGGCCTTTATCGCGGCCTTGGGTGTCAACCTGGCCATGTTTGCGCTTGCCGCCGGTGCCTACACTGTAAGTCGCCCACGACTCATTTCCCACCATTGCCAGTCACATCGTTGCTAACAAGCCTCATAGGGAGCAACACTATCCTCTCCCAACGCCGCAAAATCCGTGGCCCTTGGTCTAGGCCTCTTCTCGCCCATCGGAAACGTCTTCCGGGTCATGCTCATCGGCCTCAACGTCGCCAACCAGGGCTGCACCGCCGCCTACGGCAACAAGCCCTCGTCCGCCTTTGACGGCTACGCCGGGCCCATCTTCTACCTCTTCCTGCAGATCGTCGCGCTGGCCGCCTTTTGCATCTGGCTCGAGGGCGGGCTGTCCCTGCTCCGCCGCGAGATCCCTGCGTCCTCGGACATGGACATTGAGATGCGCGAGCCGTGCATGCCGGGCAGCGGCGTGGCGGCCGAGGTGCTCCGCGCCGAGCGCGACAAGGACGACATGCTGCGCGCGCTGCACGTCACCAAGCGCTTCCGCTCCAACGTGGCGCTCGACGACGTCACGTTTGGCCTGCCGACGGGGCAGGTGGTGGCGCTCCTCGGACCCAACGGCGCCGGCAAGTCGACGCTCGTCAACGTGATCCAGGGCGAGCTCGCGGCCGACAAGGGCGGCGTGATGCTGCGCGGCGACAACGCGCGCAACTCGGCGGCGCGCAGACACATTGGCGTGTGCCCGCAGCACGACGCCCTCGACCTGCTCACGACGCGGCAGCACCTCGTCTTCTACGCCAAGATCCGCGGCATCGCCGACGTCAACAGCAACGTCGACTACCTGCTGCGGCGGCTCGACCTCGAGCCGCACGCCAAGACGGCCGCCGCCAACCTCTCGGGCGGCAACAAGCGCAAGCTCAGCCTGGCGATTGCGCTCATGGGCACGCCGCCCGTGCTCGTGCTCGACGAGCCCACGACGGCCATGGACGCCGTCGCCAAGCGCGTCTTCTGGGACCTCATCAAAAAAGTCACCGCCAACCGCTCCATCCTGCTCACGACGCACAGCATGGAGGAGGCCGACGCGCTCGCCGACCGCGCCGTCATCCTCGCCACCAAGGTGCTCGACATCGGCACCACGCAGCACCTGCGCACGCGCTACGGCACGCAGAGCCACGTCAACGTGCAGCTCGCGTCGGCGCCGCACACCTCCGAGGCCGAGATGCAGCGCGTCTGGACGCGTATCCAGCAGGGCGTGCCGAGCGCCGCGCTCGAGCGCGACATGAGCCGCGGCCAGCTCCGCTTCGCCGTGCCGCTACAGGGACCAAACGGCGAGAGCAGCAGCCTGACCGTCATTCGCATCACCGAGTTCCTCGAGCATTTCAAGCAGGAGCTGGGCATTGCGCATTTCAACGTGGGCAGCGCCACCCTGGAAGGCGCCTTTTTAAACATTATTCGGGCCAACAACTTTCAAGAGGACAACGAGGCCCAGTAAAGGGTGATTTCGTGTTTCTCACTGTATATATACTCATAATTCGGGATTACCATTGGCGTCAGGGAGGATACACACATATTTATAGCGTAATAGAAACTACCAACAAAAGCTGCGCTATGACGCGGTTTATTCAATTCAATTAAGACCAGACACCTTCATTCAAACGTTCCCAAGCGGCATAGTGGTGATGAAGTTGGTTCGCCGCTAACCTGAGACAACGCACTGGATCAGACTCACACAGGGCCAAGTGAATTCCTAGCTAGACAAGATGTGTGATGGAAGTGATGCCGAATTCGTCACTTCTTTGCCGCTTTCGCCCTATCGCAAGCCTTTGTAAATTCTCCTAAAAGTGTCTACCAATGTGAGCAATGTCCAGCGTGCGGAAGAGGAGCCACCACATACCTTGAAATCATGATCAGCTAATGACATAAACACCGCTTGCTTATCCATCTTGAGCTTAGTCACGCGTGGGCTCTTGATGCCAAAAGCGATGCGCGCCAGAAATCTCGGATCGTCGCGCACATCGCACGCGGCGAGGATCTTGGCGATACCCGCCATGTCCGTCGTCTTCTTCGGCCTGGGCGGCATGACGGTCCGCCGCCCGGTCAGGCAGTGCGTGCAGTGACCGCACTTGGCCTTGCCGTCGGGCAGGCCCATGCCAAAGTGCTGCGCCAAGGCCAGCGCGAGACACTGGTCGCCTGTGACGAGCGCCTCGACCTGCGCCGTGCGACGCAGCGCGTCTTCCTCGCGCCGCGAGAGATCTGCGTGCAGGCGGTCGACCAGCTCATCAATCTCCTTGCTGGAAGAAGGCAGCCGCTGCAGAATACGGTATTTCTGCTCCAGGCCACCCGCTTTGAGCTCAATGACGCCGCTGTCGTTGAGGTCGGTCAGCTTGCGGACAATGTCCGCCCGGCGGATCCCTGTTTTAGAGACGATGCTGTTGACGTCGACATAGTGAAACTTTTGCTTCTTCACTGCGCCAGCATATATCGCCTGGCTTTCTGGGGCCTTCTCGTTGCTCATGCGTCCGAAATACACATTTGTTGGTACAAACTTGTATTCGCTGTATTCCGGCGTGATGGCGCGTATCAGCCCGAATTGCAGCTCCAGTGCTGCGTATACCGTTGCCAGCGTGTTTGTGCGAATGTCAAATTCACGAGACTGAACATAGTGACTTGTCTTGAAATTGCCGCCCAGGGGTATAGACACGTTTTCTTGCCTAAAGATGTCGGTCAAGAATGCTTTTAGGGACTGGGGTGATGGGAGGTCGCCCCGTGCAAAGTTTTCGCGAATATACCAGTCATCGGGACAAATGTAGTACATGCAGTTGCTGGTTTTCCCGTCACGCCCAGCGCGCCCAATCTGCTGACAGTACTCTTCCACTGTGGACGAAAGGTCAAAGTGAATAATGTTGCGGATGTCTGGTTTGTCAATACCCATGCCGAATGCAATGGTGGCGACGACAATTCGCACTTTGTTGGCCAAGAACCTGTCCTGGATTTTCGTCTTCACCTCTACATTCAAGCCAGCATGGAACGCTTCCGCATCATAGCCCTCCTTGCGCAGGTCAGCCGCCATCGATAACGCTTGCTGCTGGAGGGTGACGTAGACAAGCGTCGGCCCCGGGTGAGCGTTGAGAAACTGAAATATGAGAGGATACTTGTCCTGTTTTGTTTTTGCCGCCTTGACATGGAGGTTGAGGTTCGGGCGATAGAGGGTAGTGCGAAACACGCCTTCTGGTTGGATCGCAAAGGTGTCGCAGATATCCTTGATGACCTTTGGCGTTGCAGTGGCCGTGAGGCAGACTACCCGCTCTGCGTTGATCTCCTTGGCAAAGCGGGCAACTTTGAGATACTCGGGACGAAAAGAATGGCCCCATTCTGAGACGCAGTGTGCCTCGTCCACCGCTAGAAGGCGGACGCCACCCCGAACATGGCGCATCGTCTCAACAAAGCCTTCGTTATTGAGTCGCTCCGGGGCACAGTAGAGGAGACGAAGTTTGCCTTGCCGCAGACCCGCGTATATCTCCTGCAGCTGCTCCCACGTTTTGGTCGAGTCAATGCAGTCAGCCGGCAGGTTTCGCCGTCTCAACGCGTCGACTTGATCCTTCATCAACGCAATAAGTGGCGAGACGACAATGCTGACGCCGTGCTCGCCGGGTGCTTTTGAGCCGCTCTTCAAGTCAAGTTGCTCGAAAGCAATGGCTGGTATCTGCATATGTGTCAATTTCAGCCAACGGGCTCGTGTCTGCGATGAATCCGGACCTGGTAGCAAAGGGACTTTCCGGCACCAGTGGGGAACACGGTCAAAGTGTTGTCGCCGGCGAGGAGCCTTTGGATTGCCCCTGCTTGTTCATGACGAAATGCTTTGTACCCGAAGGTCTCGGTGAGTAGTTTCTGGGCAACATTCATCCGCAATGCTGCGTCAGCGAGATTTGTTCCATTTAAGATATGGTCGGGGATGTCATCGAGTGTTTCATCCTCCCAATCGTCTGGCTGATCATGACCGAGACTGCGCTGCCTCTTCGGCAAGTCAACCTGGCTGCTCTCTGAGGCTCGTTTTCGCTTGACTGCCGGGGGGATTTGCTGGGAAGACAGCAGCTCATCAGCATCGATGCCATCAAAGAGGTCGTCCCCAGATTCAAAGTCACTCATGGTCGCTGGCTGGGTGCAAACGCAGACCAAATGGGGCGTAGTTTCAGCTAGAGGCCCGATGTCGTGCACATAGAGATTTGCAGGGGAGAAAGCAACCATGCATCATAGGCTTCGCTATGTGCTTTTTATTTGTCGTCTACCGGCCAACGTTGGTGTGATGGATAGGGGTAACTGGTCATGTATTGTTCGCGTTTGGACCGTGAACTGTGGCAGATTTCGGCTCGCGTACACGCGCATTACTAACCAGAGAACGTGGCTTCTCCACACAGACTTGACGACTGCATCAACACAATAATCAGAACAATTAGAGGCATCGAATCACGTCTCTGCTGTTTTTCTTTCATTCTCGGTTATGTTGATCGAGGCATCGCTGCGAGCATCGGCCTGAGGCCTACGAATTCGCCCCACTCCCCTTCCAAGCCTTCATAACCAGTCTCTGATGGCTCGTGTAATAGCTTCCTATCACCATACATCAGTATAATTTATTGTCGTCAATTGGCACCCTGATCATCACCTGAAGCCAACAGCTCCGAAATGGTCCAAACACCTTGCTATCGGCCACTACTTGAGCACCCAACCGAAGCTTCCCACAGCGCAGCTTTCGCGCTCTACTTTTCAATAATAATTTCATGGACATGTACATCCATCAATATTTTTGGCCGGACTAGGTCCTTATGAGCTCGCCACTGGCTTTGTTGTGGTGGTGGTTTGTCTGACACCGAGTTGATCTATCCTTCCCAGTCGCGCGACAGAACCTGAATGGATGGAGAGCAAGAGTACGAGATGCGTGTGCATTCTTCCATCATAAGGCAATCATTACAGATCGATGATGCACTCAGCATTGCAATAAATATGTATCTGCAAGACATTAGGGTGTCATCTCAAGGTACTTTTGGGCACCCAGGCTGAGAGGCGGCCGCGATTGGCAGCAAGAGCCTTGAAGGCCGCCAGCCGGGAACCCTGATGAGCTGCGTATATTAGTACATAGATGGAGTGGCCGGGTAAGCCTCCCTTCGCGGGACCCCAGAGCCGTTGCGTAATGCAACCATATCTCGTATATCAATGCACTACTCCGCAGGGACGCGGTGGGCTGACTCCAAGATTGCTGTCACAGACTAGATCCAGAACTGCAGGTGTGTTAGTCCATTCAGGAAGTCATCACCTCGACCTTTACTTTGCGTTATTTTATCGCAGTGGCACGGGAACAAGAAAATCACAATGCGCCAGCCCTGTGGTCTGCCAGATGACTTGAGCTTCGGCCCAGCCATCAGCTCCTGTTACAGAGCCTTCGACTTTACGCTCTTCTTTGAGGACACGATCCTGGCGCTTGTTCCCTGTTCCATCTTCATTCCCATCGCCTGCGTTTACATTGCCGTTCTCGCTAAAAGGAATCCCGTCGCCACCCGCACAAAATGGTACACGGTGAAAGTGGTACGTGTCTCGATGCAGCAAATTTGTGCCCAAATTGACCCCGAGGCAGACCACTTACACGGCTTTAGTCCTCACGAATTGTATACTCCTAGCCGCCATTGCGTACAACTCCAAAACCCTCACGAGTGCCAGTGTTCCTTCCGCCACCCTCTCTCTCGTTTCCAGCATACTGATGGCCTTTTTCGCTTCTCTGGAGCACACCAGAGCACTGGCGCCGTCGCCCGCGCTCGTCTTCTTCCTCGCCATGACGGCACTTGTAGACATTGCCAGAGTCCGCACGCTCTATTTGACAGACAGGCCATTTCCAGCCGCAGCACTGTCAGCCAGCCTAGCGCTCCGACTGCTGCTCCTCGCGCTGGAGAGCCGGAGCAAGCGGAAAGACCTTGTGGCGCCGCACTCGGACACCTGTCCGGAGAAGCTCGCCGGGCCAATTAGCAGAACCATGTTCCATTGGGTCAACCCTCTGCTCATGACCGGGTTCAGGAGCTCACTCGCAGGGCGCGGACTGGGCCCGATTGACCCTGAGCTCGAGGCTTCCCGCCTGAGCTCAACGTTTTCTGCTATTCCTCCGAAAGTGCAGTGTGAGCCTGACCAAGTTCAACATACTCTCTTCTTTCTCTGCTGCTAATTCGTTTTGCTGTAGCCGGACTTTCGGAGGGAGGGCTCAGCGCCGTCACCTTGGCTTGTGTAGGCCACCATCTACTCTACGCTGTAATCCCCCGACTTTGCGTCTCCCTCTTTACATTTATGCAGCCGTTTCTCATCGACGCCATTCTCGGTTGGCTCACCAGGCAAGATGGCGATGCGATGAGTCAAGGCCATGGCCTAATCGGGGCAACTCTTTTTGTCTACTTTGGGATTGCGGCAAGTTGGTGCTTGCGCGTATGAATGCAGCTTTAGACCTAACAATTTTGTTGGCAGGCTTCCTACAGCTGGTACTGGCACCAAGTCAATAAGTCAGTCACCATGATCCGGGGCGGGCTCGTCGTCGTCCTCTTTGACAAGCTCTTGCGCCTCGCCGAAGACCCGGCGATGGAAACGCGCGCCATGACGCTCATGTTTAGCGACACCCAGAAGGTCATGTCCGCGATGAACTACTTCCATGAGCTGTGGGCTGGTGCGATTGACACATGTATAGCCACATGGCTCTTATATCGAAAGACCGGACCGGCGAGCTTTTCCATGCTGGCCATCACGATTGGTAGGCTTGCCATTGAGTGGCGGGATTTCAGCTGACTCGGAGATTCAGTGTCGTCTGCTGTTTGTCTCAGTCTTTCCAACAAGATCAGCCGGCGGCAGCAAAAGTGGCTGGCAGCCGTCGAACAGAGACTGGCACGTACCAAGCGCATGCTGTCGTCCCTCAAAGCAGTCAAAATGCTGTCAGCGAGCGATCGCATGCACAGCTCCATCACGGCTCTACGCCGAGCAGAACTTGCTGTGGCTTGGCCCTTCCGGAGGCTGCAAATTATCACCACTGCCATCTGTGAGTGACTCTGCACAATTGCGTACAGCCTTCCATGACCAACTCCAAAGCAGCATACAGCAGCATAACCTTGTCGCCGCCACTTGTTTTCGGTGTGTACGTTGCCATGACCTCTGGTAACCACGGCTTGGACGTTTCGAAACTCTTTTCCTCTCTCACTCTCATTAGTTTACTAGCAAATCCTGTGATGCACCTTTGTCAAGCCATTCCAGCACTCGGCGCGGCTCATGGTTGCATGGCACGAATTCAGACATTTTTGGAGCTTGATGAGCACCGTGATAGGAGGACTACAATGTCTCCGTCAAAAGATGCAGATACACCGGAACAGGTTCTCCTGTCGCTTAAGAATGTGTCCTTAGGATGGCTGGCGGGAAAACCAATCCTTCATGACATCAATCTCGATGTCAAGCGGGGGTCGCGAGTTGCTATCCTGGGACGCATTGGTGCTGGTAAGTCTCTTCTTCTTAAAGGGATTTTAAGTGAAGTAGCCGAAATTTCAGGCGAAATCGCTTTGCGTGAAGACGTAACTTTGGCGTACTGTAGCCAAACTCCATGGCTGGAGAACGCGTCGGCAGAAGAAAACTGGACTCGGCGCAGCCCATCAAGAAGCCCTGCCTTACTCGGCAAAATGATTCAGGACTACGCATTACAGAATATCCAGGAGCTTCACGATTACAAAACGGGGACCATCGGAAGCCAGGGCGTCAAACTCAGTGGTGGACAGCGACAGAGACTGGTAAGCTTTCCCTATGCATGGCACTGCGGTCAGTCCTAACTAGTATCCTAGGCAAAGGCACGAGCAGCCTTGCTTGAGAGAGACATTCTGCTGTTGGATGATGTGTTTAGTGCCCTGGACCGCAGAACAAAGCTCCACGTGGCCCAAGGCCTATTACAGGCACGAGATGGTCATGACCGTCGAACCGTCATCTTCACCACACACGATGGTATGAGTAATACACGGACGGGCGTCACAGTGGTCTCGCTGATGCTCTGCTAACTCGGTGCAATAGAGCACATTGCCAACATGGCCGACAATCTACGAAATAGACTCGGCGGGCATCATGACGCGCCGGCCCAAGAGGGAGCTGCCCGCAGAGACCATGGCAGCGGACGAGGACTCGACGCCCGAGGTCAAGGAAGAAGCGTCCACCTCTGAAACATGCCAGGCTTCGTCCCCGAACTCCGCCACCATCACGATACCTGAACCGCCGCTCAAATACATGGATGTCTACAAAACCTACCTGCACTCCGTAGGGCTTGGCAACGCCGTCCTCTTCCTGCTTCTCGGTGGCCTATATGCTGTCGCCATGAAGTTTCCAGGTATGTCAGACGACTCCGGCTGCCACCTTATAAAAACCTCATCTTTTCTTCTTTCTAGACGTTTGGGTCCAGTGGTGGTCCAATGACAGTTCAGCGGGCGGCGGCGGCCGCCACTCGACCGGGTACTGGATCGGCGTCTATGCTGTGTTGGAGTGCCTTCCGCTGCTGATGCTTGGACTGTGGGATTGGTACGCTTCTCGTGGCCGTCATCTTTAAGAGCCGGTGGCTAACTCGTCTACAGGCACCTCTCTTACGTGGTCGTTCCCGTGGCGGGCATGTCCCTTCACACTACGCTGCTCACCACCGTCCTCGACGCGCCCTTTGCCTACATCAGCAGCGTCGACGCCGGCAGTATTATCAATCGCTTTAACCAGGACCTTATGTTTATCGACTCGCAGCTCCCTAACGCCCTCTTTAATACCGTCTCTGAGCTCTTCGTGGCCGTCATACAGGTCGTCCTCGTCGCTGTCGCCAGCGCCCACGCACTCGCCGCCGTTCCCGCCGTAGCCACCGTCCTCTACGCTGTTCAACGCTTCTACCTACGTACGTCTAAGCAATTACGGCTTCTCGACCTCGAGGCTAAGGCGGTACTACACAGCCTCGTCTCCGACGTGGCGGGCGGCGCCGGCCCGTCGACGCTCCGCGCTCACGGCTGGCAGGCTGACGTCCGCGCGCACTTCCTCGCCCGCCTCGACGCCTCTCAGGAGCCTATCTACCTTCTATTTTGCGTGCAGCGCTGGCTGCAGCTCGTCCTTAACCTGGTTGTTATGGGGCTCGTCGTGCTCGTCGCCGGCGTTGCTGTGGCGCTTCGCCAAAGGGTCAACCCAGGCGCTGTCGGCGTCGCATTTCTGAACGCTGCCACCTTAGGTGAGACGCTGACCCAGTTCATCCTCGCGTACACGTCTTTGGAGACGTCTCTGAGTGCCATTGCGAGAACAACCATGTTTAGCGCGAGTACGCCGAGTGAGCGAGATGACGACGAGAGGGGTGCAAAACCCTCGTCGTGGTGGCCGTCCGAGGGGAGCGTTCGGCTCGACAATGTTTGGGCCCGTTATCAGCTCCTTGCTAACTCTCAAGATGCGTCTTGGAGCTTGCGAGGCATCAGTGCTAATATACCAGCCGGGCAAAAGGTGAGTATTTGCGGCCGCACGGGCTCAGGCAAGTCGACCTTCATCCTAGCTCTGCTTCGCATGGTTGATGTTCCAATCGGCACAGCCTACATTGGTGGGCAAGACCATTCGCAGCTTCCGCTCGCAGCCCTGCGGCGAGGCTATTTAGTCGTCTCGCAGGATCTCCTCGACGATTCCACAATTTTGCGTGACCAGATTGACCCCGATGGACAGTTTACAGACGAGCAGGTCCAAGAGGTGTTGACGGAATGCGGCCTCCAAGAGGTCGTTGAGGCAAGTGGTGGGCTAAAGGCGAGCGCCGCCGCCGTTCAGCTTTCGAATGGCGAGACACAATTTCTATCCCTCGCAAGAGTTCTCCTGTATGGATCTGCACGACAAGGCGGTATACTTCTTCTCGACGAAGCCACAAGCAGGTGCGTCGTAAAGTCGTAGAATATACGCCGCCTCAAGCTAACCATTGCAATCAAGTCTTGATGAGGATGCGCAGAAACGGATGGAGAGGCTGATCGATGCGAAACTTCAAGACAAGACAATCATCTCAGTCTGTCACAAACTTCCATGGGCCCTCAGGTCAGACCGAATCATTGTCTTGGATAAGGGACAAATTATCCACGATGGAGCGCCACAAGACATTATAAACGAGTCGGTCTTGTTCGCTGGCATGTCGCTGCCAGGCTCTAGATGAGCAGTTGAGCAGTTGAGCTCCGTTACAATGTCGAAAACATTTTCTACCCTGTGCCAGTCGTCGAGTAGTCATATTTCCATGAAGAATCATCTCGGCCTTAATCCTGCTGTAGCTCGACCACCTCCTATGCCATTTGTTTGGTTGGTCGACATGTTGCTGGAAATCTCAGTGTAGTGTGCTTCAAGAACAGAACCTTGATGGGTGATCTCTTTGGTCGCCGAATCCTTCAGACCAATCAGGCTGAAATGAGAACCTTGATCGGTTGCGATGCGCACCAGACCACTCAAGCAAGTCCCCAATAAGCAAGACTATGGCGACAATCCGAGCCACTTTTGAGCTGGACTTGACCTGCAACATTTTATCACGCCAGCGAGCATTCTGAGAAGTGACAGCACGCACCACGTTGGTCGAGACACTGGCGATGGCGACAGATCGCTCGGTAGAAGAGCCGCTTCTGGCGGCCCGTGTACAAGACCAACAGCCAGCCAATGCGCGACCGGACAAGATCAACACCCGAGCCTTGGTCGTGCTCTTTCTCAACGTCTTCGTGGCAGATGTTGGCTACATCATCAGCCTTGCTCCCATGACACGCATCTTTGAAGACATGACCTGCCAGCGGTACCTGTATGCTTCGGGGCAGGCGCTCAACGGCACCGGTGGGCGGCCAGACGAGGCGCGCTGCAAAATCCCCGAGGTCCAGGGCCCAGTCGCAGAGCTGTTTGGCTACCAGGTATTTTTCGACTCGCTCGTGGGGATCCTTCTCGGGCTGTACTTTGGCGCGTTGGCAGACAAAATTGGCCGGCGGCCCATCTTTGTCCTTGGTATCGTGGGCACCTTTCTAGCCTCGTGCTGGAAACTATACGTCTGTTCGTGCCGGCTTGATGTACCACTTTCTCGGACCAAGCTGCTAACGTTATAGAAGGTTGGATGGGGCTTCCGCTGCGCTATGCATGGTTCTCGTCGGCATTTCTTATACTCGGGGGTGGGGACACCGTGTCTAACGCCTGCCTGACCATGATCCTTACCGACTCGACGCCGGTTGCGTCGCGGGCGAGGGTGGCTCTCTACTTTGCCGCATCGAACCTGGGCGCCGAGGTCGTTGCGCCACCCATCGCGTCGTACTTTATCGACAGCAACCCGTGGGTGCCGGCTGTGATTGGCGTCTGCTGCAATGGTTTGACAATTTTTGTCGCTTGCTGCCTGCCAGAAACCTTGTCAAAGAAACAGGCTGAAGGAATCTCTGCTGGCTCTACCGCAGAGGGTGCTCACACTCGGACGGGAGAGGCGACAAAGGACGGGTCGTTCAAGTCGACGGTCAAGCACACGTTGCAGGTGGTACAGGATATTCGTAGCCAGCGCCCGCTGCTTCTTCTGTCGGGCGTCTTCATGGTTTCGGACTTTGCCAGGAAGTCGATGCAGTTTTTGGTGCAGTACGCGTCCGTTAGATACCAGCTGACTTTAGGACGAGTATGTGGACGCGCTGCTATGCTTTGCCACCTTGCTCATCTGCGTATAGGCAAATTTTCTACTCATGTGGCGAGCAACAGCGGCCATCATCTTGCACATGACAATCCTGCCGGCCACAGACAAGTTTCTGCAGGCCAGGATGCACATGTCACCTCGGAGGAAGGACCTGACCTTGGCCCGCATATCGATTTGTCTATTCACCGCAGGCTTTCTCGCGCTGGCACTCGCGCCGACCGTGGTGGTTCTTATTTTCGGTAGGTGCCCGTGCCCAAATTTGCGAAAGTACGGAGTACTGCGGTATCCTAACATGGGAAGGAATCGGACTCTACAATCTCGGGGGCGGGTTTGGCATCTTTATGAAGTCGATGGTAAGCACTATGGTAGAGCCACATCGACTGGGAAGAATATACAGCACGCTGTCAATTATGGACACAGCCGGGTCGTTGTTAGCCGGCCCAATACTGGCCCAGGCGCTGAGCTGGAGTTTTCGCCTCGGGCACAGCTGGAGCGGACTGCCGTACATGTTTGCGTCGTTCCTTTGCGGAGCTGGAGCGGTGGTGTTGTTTCTAATAAGGCCTCGCTAGCGGGGGCAGGACTCAATGAATAGCAGTTAGGTCGCCGAGACTGAAATACATATGCGAGCATGGTTGGTGTGATTGTCTTTGCCGCGGTAATACGGGGTGTCTCAGGTGTAGAAGCTCCGGGATCTGTGCATTTTCGGCGCCAGGTGCGGCACTATGAATCGGTGTGCTTGATGGCTAGTAATGTAGGGCCGCAGACTCTGGCGTTGCTGTTTCCTATGCGCAACGAGGAATCTGGGCATCTATCAGCGGCCTGGCAGAGTCGGGCATCGCAGCACGCAAGTTACAGAAGAAGCGATTGCTGACCTATCGGAGCACAGGCTTTGGTTAGTGGAGGGATGAGGGATCGGGTATTGAAGTTGGGAAGGGTGTGGAGCTGGGAAGCTAACTGCGGATGCGTGCTTTGATGGATGGCGGGTTGGTTGGATGGTTGGCAAGATAGATGGGATGAGGTCTGATGGTGGTGGTGTGGTGTGTGTTTGTAATACGAGGACAAAGGAGAAGGTTAGTAGCAATAGAGGCTCCGTCATCTAGCCCTGCTGACGCGAGCCGGGCCACAAATTGGTGCCGACTGACCAAGAATAGCGTCTGGATAGTGCGGTCCGGTAGCAATTGCGGTGGATGCCTAATTCGTACCTAGTAGGTAGTAATGGCTGACACGGCAAAAGCCAAGTATTCAAATATCTCAAAGGTAGTCATCTGTACTCGGTATTCTTTGTGACTTGTTCGTGCCAGGCAGCCAAGCTACGACCTCCCGTGACGCTATTCCCAGGCTGGGCAGCCCGCCGCTCGCCTGCCTTAGCTAATCCGCCTGCACCGAATCGGGACGGGCCAGACGGGCAAGCCGGGGTGTGCGCGTGGTTACGTACCTCAGGAAGTGTTCGTTACAGGAGTTGGTTGGGGGTGGATTCAGGGTATCCTGCGAGGTCTTTCCGGTATTCCGTAATCCGTAATAATAATTTGTACAATGCTTTGCGTGGTGCCAACAGGTACCTTGCCCAAGATAGCACGTAGGTACCTAATCGGTATCACCTCGCACTGCCCCATCCCTCGCACAACGTCTGTAACAGTCTTTAATGTGTGGATGGATTTGACATCAACTCCGTTGGCAAAAAAATCCTGTGTGACAAAAAGGTCAAAAGAAAAACGTCGGTGCACTCTACGAATAGGCACCCAGATCGATCTGTCATGGCTGAGAGCGACTCAGACTGGCACACACTTATTTGCTGTAGGTAGGTACTTGGGTACATACAAGGCAGACAGCACACTCAATTTATCTGTGGTGGCCTCACCATTCACCAATCATATCAACTCCCTACTCATCCACCGCACCACCCACACGGTACGTACCCGTTTTGGAACAACCGCTTTCCGCACCTCCTCCAGGACCTCCACCCAATTCCAAACTGCGCGTGCCGCTCTCTCCACGATATCTTCAACCCCCGGCCATCTCTCCCCCAACGTCGCCCTACCGCCTGCCCATGATTCGACTCACCCGCTCCTTCTCGCCGCCCCCGCCTCTATCGAATTGTCGAATCCTCCGCTTCGACCTCTTCTATTGAACCCTCTTCTTTTTCCTCTGTCCCGGCCGGCCCCGCAGCTGCCCTACCTAGCCTGGCTGCGCTTCAAAGTCCCGCGCGGCGACACCGAAGACCAAAAACCATCCACCACCGCCACACCCACCATCGACGTTGCGTCTTTTGGCCACATCACCGGGGCTCACCTCGGATCGCATAAACACATCGATTGAGACGCTGGGCTCGCCTCTCTTGTTGCGCAAGTCCTCCCCCCTCGCGCTCCGAGCCAACACTGTCAGCATAGCACCACCTTGCTCCGGGATGGCGTCTCCTCTCTCTTGCACGGCATGAGCTCTAGGAATTCCATGGGCGTCCCGCCAAGAGCCCAGCCGCGGGCGCCCTCCGGCTCGGCCCTTCAAGCTCACCAGCGCGGCCTGTCGTCCTCGTACATGCCGCCCCTTTCGCCCGTTCGCAAGGATGACCACCACAGCCAACCGACCGACCCGACCGACGCCTCGACAACCTCATCGCAGGCCAGCACCGCCAGCCGCCATGGCGCCACCCCGAGACGCACAGCTGGCTCCAAGCTCCGCATCGAGCTCTCCAACGACGAAGGCCTGACCCCCGGCCCCGCCACCGACTCGCCGCTCGGCACACCCTCGCTTCTCTCCCACAGCGCCGCCCTCGACTCGAGCACAGATGCCAGCGGCCACGGAAGCCCAGCCCTGTCCCGCGCCTCCCACGCCGACTCGGCTATCCCCCCGATGCCCATGCCCCGCCGCCGAGCGCCTTTGCAGCGCTTCGTCCCCAGCAACAAGACGGCCGCCCCGCCAACGGCACTCCTCAAGCGGGACTCCAAGCCGAAGCAGTACACGATTGAGGTGCCACCCCCCGCGCCGCGATACCTCTCAACCAACAAGCCTGACACCCTCCACCGCGACCCCTTCAATAAGGGTCTCTTCTCCGGAAACGCCGATTTCTTTCCCTGGAACGGCCGCCACCACGAGGACGAATGGAGCACCGAGGCAATACAAAAGGGAACCTGGGACCGCGGCAGCCAAAACGAGACTTCCTCGGCCCGCCTTGCTGTCTACCCGTCTCTTAAGCAGAAGACGGGTCTTAATGCATTGTCCACCATATTCATGGGAGTCCTCAACCAACGAAGAAACCGTGGCCAAATCACTGCCCCGTCCACCTTCAAGCCGCCTCCTCGCGTCACACTCACCGATACGAAACGTGAGGTGTGGCTCAAGGATCTGGCGAACCCGACCATTTCACTACGCCGCCTCAGCCGCACCATTCCCCATGGTATTCGCGGTCGAACTCTCCTCGACCAGTGTCTCAACAAAAACGTGCCCACCGAGCGAGCCATATGGCTAGCCAAGTGCGTCGGCGCCAACGAGATTCGGTCCTTCAAACGCAAGGGCGTCACCAGCGGACTGGCCATGGGAAACGAGCTCAAGTGGATTAGGGACTGGACCATCTTTGTGGAACAGTTTGTCGATTCTATTGTCTCTTCGGTTGGCGAGCCTGACTGGAAGCGCAGAGTGACATACTCGTAAGTTGCGCAACCAAGTGTCACCGTCGTTCTATACGCTAACCCATGCCAAGCATCCGCCTCGCTACTGTACTCTACTCTGAACACTTATTAGACCGGGATCATTACCTAGACTGGATCGTCTCAGGCTTGGAAGGCAGCAACCAAGCCAAGCTACCCATGTGGATCTTGATTGCGCAAATCTGTTGGACAGACATACTTCGGTCTAGGAAGCCGGGTCGTCGCCTCGTATTTGCTCTACTAAACCACTTGAATACTGTATGTCCATGTACCAAATGCTTTGAGCGTTGCTAATTTGTGCAGATATATAATGATCCCGATCGAGACATTTTGATGCCCCTCTCGAATCAACTCGTGTCGCTCCTCAAGACACTCGTCGCAAAAAACCCAGAGAGCTTTATCCAACCACTTCAGTGGTTCAAATACCGCGAATGTCTTTCGGCCTTTCTCCCAACGGATGCGCGAGCATTACAGCAAGCATACCGTTCTATCAACCAAAGAAATTCGGAACTCTTGGTCTCCAGCGCCGCCTCCCCGCCCATTGGTGGCAAGGAGCATTTGGTCAAGCTTCTAGACGCCACTTTGTATGGCAAGGTCGATCGTGAGCTATCCTACAAGTGCTGGTCGACCTCGGAAGACAAGACACAAGTCCTCAAGACGGTCATTGAATGGGTAACTTCGTTTCACCGCCCAGGCCTGGAAAAGATTTATACCGCCACCAACCTGCTGCGGTCTTGGAGCGGCTTTCGCGTCAACACGACCGGTGCTATCCTCGACACTCTAGACTCCATAGAGCCCGGCGATGTCGTACGAAAACAGTCAGTGTACCGCTTAGTCACCGAGCTGGCGCGGACCGGGCACTTTTCCGTATCTCAGTATATCCAGTGGCTGATTGCTCGAGGCAATTGTCACAGTGCTGCCGACGTGGAAGAAACAGGGCCATGTGCATCCAGGCTTCTGGTGGAGTTGCCCATCTATTGCATACCTGAAGACCGCAAGACGGATCGCGCCAACTTGCTGCGCCGCGCCGCCCACTACAACGTCGCCGATGAAGCTCGTGATATTTCCATGGCCATTCAATGTGTCAATCAGACTGTCGGACTACGCGCAACAACCAACGATGGCGGCACCTTACCAATCAAACCTATTCCACTTCGCAAACTTGTCCGTCGCATCAACATCAGCAGCTTTGCTCTCAAGAGCGCTGTTGGCACTCACCTTCGCAACGCCTTTCAAAGCCTGCTTCCTCCGCGCCTCGATACTGACGTGTCCTTGCACGTGTTTACATCCACCCGCGCCATTCTCGAAGCTACCGGCGACTTTTCTATGCTCGGTGAGGTTCTCCGGAGCTGCTCCAGAATGTCCAACATGGAGGTCCTCGCCGCGTGCGTCGACACGGTCAATGTCAACCTCCAGGTCCTCCTCGCCGTCGGTGTCGCGGACGACCTGTTTGCGCTCTACGTCGAGCGGCTCAAAGCGGCAAGCTGCGAGCACGGGCTCGTCGCGCGGCCGCTGCTCGCGGCCCTGTCGTCGTTGGCACAGCGCATGCCCAACCAGGGTGACGTGGCCAAGAACCTGCAGCAGGAGCTGACGCAGACGGACCGTAGTAATCCCATCGACGCCTGCTCCCCCGTCTCGGACAACATGGTCAGCCAGGCCACGAACCCCGAGGGCGAGTTCTCGGAGCAGATTGACAAGCTGCTCGCCACGGGCAACAGCATCGACCACCCAACGATGAACCGTCTCTTCCGCAACATTGTGCCCCGGCTCGAAACCGGCTGGCACAAGTTGGACGCGAGCCGCCGCGTGTACGCCTCGCTCCTCGCTCGCCTGCGTATCTTTGACGCGCAGCACTTTGATAAGCTCATAAGCGACTGGGTTAGCCACATTCGCTCGCTCAAGGAGCGGCCCGCGCTGCGGGAACTGCTGCCGCTGCTCGTCAGCCTCGGCTGCCTGACCATGGTCACCATTCTCCACACCGCCAATGCCGCGCCCGTCGCCGCGAGCGTCCACGCCGCGCTCGACGCGGGCCCGCCCCGCGGTGCGGCCATTTACCTCGAGGAGCTCCTGCAGCTCATCTTGCGCCCGCTGCCCAAGAACACCCCCCTCACGGCCGACGAGTCCTACCGCTTCGTCGTCTACCAGCAATCAGCCCAGATGGAGCATGCCAAGGCGCTCCTGCTGCTGATCCGCAACGCCGTGCAAGAGTACTCCATCCTCCGCAGCCGCTCGACGACGACCACACTCCCGCTTGACGACCGCACCTGCCAGGACGACGTGCTCGAGGCGCTCCGTGTCCTCGTCGTAACCAACTCGACGGCCGCTGCCGACGCCCTCAGTATGAAGGATTTGGCGCCGGAAGCCGCCGCTCTGATCCGGACTGTGGCCGCCAAGCTGCTCACGCCCGGCGACACGCACACGAGCTCCTCGTTTGACAAGATTCTTGGCCTGGCCAATGAGCTCACGATGCCATTTTGCCAGCTGAGTCTCAGCATGGAGCTCTCGCTACCACAAGATCCCCGCCAGCATGAGCCGCCGGAATCCCAATTCGACTTGTTTGCCCGCGCTATGGACAGCGCCATTGAGGCACGCAACATTATGTGGACGAGTATGTTGCCGTGCCTTAGCGACGACATCACGCAGCACCTGCGCAGCCAGGCGCATGGGCGCTTCCTCACGATGATGCCGTCGGCGAAAGCGCCGGACCTGGTCGCGCGCGCCACGAGCGAGGACCGCATCCAGCTCGCGCAGAACCTGCTTGGCGTCATCGAGGCCATCATCTCAGGCCAGCCGCCGTCCAAGTCGGCCCAGCTAACATCGACGCTCGTTGACAAGCTCACCGACCTGTGGGACATCATCTCCGTCCCCGACGCCTCGTCGGCGGCGCAAGATGCCGTCCGCAAGCACTGGCTGCCGTTTCTGCTACGCTTCATTACGCTCCACAGCATATACGCGTCCTCGTCCTCGTCGTCTTCCTCAGACACGGCCGCTCCCATCGCAGCCGGTTCGCCCGCTGTCGTCAACAAACCCGTCAGTAACGTCGCTCCACCTCCCATCACCACCACCACGAGCAACAACCACGAAGCCCGCGCTCGCATCGTGCTCGTCCTCTGCGGAATCCTCTTCGCGCTCGAGGCGCAGCAGTCGCTCCCGCCCCGTGGCAAGCTCGCCCAGCAAGTCTTTGACATTTCGCTGCTCCTCGTCGACGGCCTCCCCGACGACGTACGTCTGCACTGCGCCCGCAACGTGCTCGCCCAGCCCGGGTCCTCTGCCCGCGGCATCGGCACCTCAGACCCGCGCATCTACTACCTATTTAGCGCGCCGCGCCCAACGGCCGCCGACAACCTCGTACTCGCTCACAGGGACCGCGGCGCCGTCCCGCTGAGCGCCGCGGCGCGCGGGCTCGCCGCCATGTACGGCATCGGACCGACGCTGCAGGAGCGCTACTCGCACTTTGCCCTCCGCCGGTGGGAGGCGCTCAGCGAGCCGACGCCCAATGTCGGCGATAATGACACAAGCCTGTCCCTAGGCCTGTTCGAGGCCATCAAGATCCAGTAACTTTTGCCGTTCTTTTGCCATTCTATATTACGACGCACGAAAACGCTCTTTTTTGCGCAAACCACTTTTTCAACATCTTGCACACCTGACGAATAACGGATGACTATAACCTTTGCCTGTTTTCTTGGTCGCATTCTCTCTCCTTTGTATCACTTCTGTGCTACTTTGCTTTTTTTGTGATCTTGTCAATTTACATTTGCAAGACGGTGTTGGCGTTTTTTCTTTTCTCCTGTTTGCAAACTGGGGGAGGGGGTTGCATATTTCACCATTTTGCGGCGAGTTGCTCAACTTTTTTATATTCATTGTAACTTCATCATGGGAGTATTCCTCACACAGGGGGAACGAAGAACAATGGGCAAGGAACAAGGGTAATGAAATCATGTCCGATTTCGCATTGGGAGGGGGGTACAGGTTCGTGGCTGGAGGGGGGGGAGTGGGAAAGCATATATATTCCTCAAGGTCCTCGGTGTCAAAGCAGCATCGCATCATTGAATGGCGAACCAGAACATGCACGCATGCATAGGCGTGCTCTGAGTATACCGGAGTTTTTTTTTTGTTCTCTAACCCTGAATTGATTTTTTGCATGTTTTTTAACTTTTGAATTAATGAAGAATTCATTGATATATATATAATTCCCTTACCGTAAGACCAGTATTCGTGAATTCGCAAGTTATGCTCATTTGAAGCAGTCTTGTTTTCTCATGTATTTTTTTTCGTTGTGCAGTAGCTACCAGCATATACTAGCTAAAGATGGGGGGAGTTGTTGAACAATATAAAGAAAGAAAAAAGTACGTAAAGACAAAGCCAACCAATACAAAGCAAGAAGGATGTTTCAAGATGACAAGACAAGGCAGAAAAATCAACGAGGGAGATGGTGGACCAACATCATGACGCCGTGCTGGGAGGGGAAAACAGATCTTCTGACATGTACGAATAAATAGAACCAGAGCCAGATCCAAGCTCTTCCTTCCAACCAAAACCCCAAAAACAAGAGACATGTAAAAACAACTTGACAAAAAGTAGACAAACCCCCAGCGTCATCTTTCAGTCCTCGTCAAAGATCTGATACGTGTTTTGCAGAATCGTATCAATGACTTTAATCTGCCAGCCAGCGTCCGTCATGGCCGTATTCGGGTCGCTGCCCATGAGCGTGGGACCAAAGATAACGGCGAGGTTGTGCGAGTTCATGCGGTTGAGGTGCGCATTGTCCATGACGCGGTAGAGGTGCAGCGTAATGGCGCGCAGCGTTGCGTAGTTGGGGTCGGGCAGGGCGTTGATGATGGCGTGCAGCGAGTCGCGGCGCACAATATCGTCGTCGTGTTCTACGTGTTCGAGGTTAGTCGATCGTCTTTGGGAGAATGCGGAAAGAAGGGAAAGAAAGGAAGAGGGACTTACTGGCTGCATTGACGAAGCTGCCGTGGTGCTCCGACGTCAGAATCGGATCGGGCAAGTCGCGGAAAAACTGCTTCAGCAAACCCGTGACACTGTTGACGTCGTGGTAGAAGCTCTCCGGGTTTCTAAAGTCCAGGGCCGGGTTCTGCGAGTCTAGTCCGTGTCAGCACACAATTCACGTGTGTTTTGGCCTCGACAGGTTTACTTACCAGCATCAAACATGCTCTTGAGCTTATTAATGTGCGTCAGGGAGCCGGACTGGCGATAGATACCCTCCACGCCAAGACCGTACATGTCCACGGCCTGGATGCACTGGTACACGACCATGGGCACGGCCAACCCGTCGCGCTCGTACAGTTTGGACAGCGAGACGCCAAAGACGGGCTTCATTGGCGGCGCGTTGGCCATGACGCTGGTGCCGTGCGCGCTGGGGTACGCCGGCGGCTGGCCTTGCGGGGGCTGTGGTCCAGGCTGCATGACGCTGGGGTGGGCGCCGGGACCGCCGAGACCGACAGGGCTCTTGACATCGCTGGGCGGTCGAAACGGCAGTGTCGTTTGTTGTGGCGATCCGCGTGCGCCAGGCTCACCGGGGCCGTTGGGAACGCTCGAGGCGCCTGGAGGTCTAAAGGGTGCTTGGCCCTGCTGCGGCGATGCGCGCTGTCCCGGAGCGTTGCCACCCTGGAAGGGCAAGGCGCCGAGCTGGGGTGGCGCCCCGGGCTGGCCGTTTCCGTATCGCGGAGCACTTTGGTGAGGGGGTGCTTGAGGCGGGCCGCCGCGTCCACCGTATTGTGGCGGGGGTCCTCCCAGGCCAACAAGACCACCAGGCGAGCTAAGAGCGTTTCCTTGGCTAAAGCTTCGAGTATGCTGCTGGCCAAAGGGTCTCGACTGGTCGGGAAATCCGCCTTGCGATACGCCGGCCACCTGCCCGGGTCCAACGGGGCTCTGGGGGCTGCCGAGACCACCTGGGCTGGTGAGTCCGCCATAGTTGCCAGTGCTCGACCTGGCACCCATGGTCTGCGGTTGATGCGCGATTGGACTGGGCATGCCACCCGCAGCGGCCGGGTTGGCCTGACCAAACGAGGACATGGAACCTTGCTGGCCGGGAGGGGCAAAGGGCTGGCTGTGTGGTCGGGGTGCACCAGAGGAATGAGGGTTCAGTAGTGGGTTCTTTTCGTATTTGACTTCAGTAGAAGATGCCACCTTGAGTTGCTGGGTCGATATGTACTCGTTGAAGTCCCGCTCATTGTTGATAGAGGATGCGGCCTGGCGAAGGCTTCGCGGCTGGGGAGTCGTCTCTCCAGGCTGATTCTTGAACGGATACACGATTAAGCCATTGCCGAGGAGTAGCTTCTCGTTAAAGGCGGCTAAAAAAAATGAGAAGTCGTTCGGGTAACAATATACGATTTTAACTTACCAAACTTTTGTATCTGCAGGGTGGTGGCAGAGTCTATCTCGAGCACCAGATCCTTGAGGGCCTTGACGGCTTCTGGGCGATGCGACGCCTCGAGCTGCGACTTTTCCGTCTGCAAGGTCTGGACGTGGCTGTAGTACGCCTGCTCGGCATTTTGGGCCTTCTTGAGCAAGTCTTCCTCCTGCTGCGCGGCAGACTTGTGCGCCTTGAAAGCGCCGAGGACCTTGCCACCACCCTGCCTGCCCTCGCCGGTTCTCGCTCTGTCGTACTCTTCGGCGAGCGAGTCGTACTTGGCCTTGCTCTTGCGCATGGCCTGCTCAATGTCGGCCACTTTTTGCTCGGCAGACAGGCCGTTGGTCTTCCACGTCTTTCTGTTGCGCTCCGAGTTGTTGGCCAGCTCAATCAGGTCCTCGTGCATTTGGTGGAGCGAGGCTGCGAATTGGATACCGTTCTCGGCCATGCGGTCATGGATGAACATCATTTCGTCGTAGGATTTCGCAAAGCTGCCTGTGCGGTGATCTGTTCGTCGCATGTTCTCCTGAGTCGTGCGGCAGAGCTTCTTCAAGCTCTGGGCGTGGTCGTCTTCGAGAATGGCGCGCTTTTTGAGAAATGTCGCAAATTCCTACAACAATGTCAGCTGAGGGCCAGTGCATACTATTGGCGCATTGATTACCTTGGCAGACGCAAGGCTCTGCTTGAGACGGTTCAGCAGGGTGGCAATACCAATCTATCGAGTGTTAGCAGCTCGTCGGCATTGTGATACGCGGGGAGTCGCATTACCTCTGAAGAAAGAACTGCGTTGACCTGCTTCATAAGCGCAGCTTCGGCTGGGCTGGGTGCCGAAGCATCGGCGGGAGGAGCTCCGCCAGGAGCTGGGCCATGAGGGGTATCGCCAACCTCGCTCTTGTCGTCGTCAGATTCGGGCTCGACGCCTTGGGGCTTCTCCAAATCAGCGACAGGTTCTTTTCTGTCGCTGTCCTCTGAGGTCTTGCCTACGGGCGCGCCGGACTGCGATGGCTGGGGTGGGCCTGAAGAGATGGGCAAGGCGTTGTCGCCTGGGCCGCGGAAGTCAGACGACATTGCTGACGTTGCGGAGTGAGCCCCTGTGCCGGATACTCTCGCGGGAGCTGCTGCAAAGGACGAGCCGTCCACGGGAGTTCCGAGCGCGGTAAACGGCCGTGGTTGTCGCGGGGACAGGCGCTCGGGCCGGGGGGACAGCAGGGTCTGAGGGGTCCGAGGTTGTCGTAACGGCGGACGGTGCCAGGCAAGATGCGGCGTTTGGATGCGCTGAACGGCAGGCGCAAGGTCAATGCTTGTGCGATGCAAGCTCCAGGGCGCAAAGGGTTCTTCTAGTAAGGGATGTTGACCCGTGGCAGTCGCAGTCAAAGGGGGCCCGGGAGTGATGCGAGGTGGAATGGCGGCCGGGCAGCAAAGCTTCGTGGCACCAGGAAGAGGTGGTGGCAGTGGCAGGTGAACAAGGAAGGCTGTGGCGTGGCTGCTTGCTCCTCAGTTGTCAGCCACGATGACGCGCCTCGAGGCTCGAGACTTGGAACCAGCCATTTTATTTGCTAACTAGTTGGATAGTTAAAATTGTGATAAATCAGCGAAAAAAAAGTTCAGCCATCTTGACGTTGGTTCAGAGCACTGCGAGGAACTTTCTCCAAGGAACATGGCAGGTTGTCTCGCTGAAGAATTGTGGCGCATGCCCCTTCGGTGCCTGAACCCACGTCGCCAAGTGGGCTGAGGCTCTGGAGTGTCTCGTATCGCAGCGACAGGGGCAAGGTGCCGTACCCTGTAGTGTCTTCAGAAACTATACGACGCTCAATCAACACAGCCCATTGAGTCGGGCTTAGCCAATCTATCGTCTAGATATCTCCGGGTTTATATTACTCACTGGAATTGGTCGAGCCATTCTGTCGTGGTAATTACACGCGGTACCTTTAGCCCAGGGTGTTAAGTCGTGGCCACTTGCGTACGTCGCCAACAAGATGTTTATAAGATGAGTTGGCCTCCAAGGAATATTAGTACGAGGATATTAATCCCATTGGAAATAACAGCATAGAGCCGAGCCAAGCAACGGGTTCAAATCATTGGGATAAGCTAGAAGTCCTTGCTACACGCCAATGCAAGACGACTGCAAACTGGATTTCGACTGTCGCTCTTGAAACATGTAATATTAGTGAGCCAACAGGGCAAAGTCAATCGCGGCCGCATTCAACGTAGATCAATTATTGGACTTTTATTGCAGGGAGTGAGTCGCCCGCACAATACCACTGAGCAGCCGGTCGTGTGCAATATCAAGAACCTCTTGCTGATGGAGTATGGACATTTTCCACTTAGATATGTCACGACGTCATCGCAAGGTCCTGTGCTTCGTTGTCGACATGTACGGCAGGCGTAATTTCGGTGATTGACTGTACTAAAGAAGAACAAGAGTCTGAACTGTACGACGTGCGCGACGATGCCATTGAGGCGCTTCCCGACAGTAAGAGCAAGTATCTGCTACGAGTCCTACACGCAGGCAGGCGGATCTGCGCCTAAGACGTTCGCATTGCAGGCAACAGCTGGCACTTTGCTTCATCATAGCGTCCCTCGGTTGATTTGCCAGCTCGCCAAGCTCGCTGACCACTGTCTCGTTCCCCAAAAAGCTTGCGACTGCACACCTTCTTCAAGCCATGCTGAGACAATTGCTTCGAATCCGCAAAATCCTACCAGAAGCCACCGCCTCGCACCACTCCATAACCATCCACCGTATGCCTCACTTAGCGCGCTCGGGATCGGGTTCGTACTTTTTGACATGTTTATGAATGAGGTTAGGTATTCCCGACCGGGTTTGCCTGCCGGCTATGCTATCGACACCGTGCTTTCCTTTTGTTTAATTCAATCAAGACACCAGTTGTCTACAATCGCAACTCCAAAAGACCAAGTCTTATTCGACCAAAGTGTAGAAGAACTTCCGGAACGACCTGCTCCCTGATTTTTTTTTATAACTTGTTCATCCTCGCGCGCGCATCGTCATCATCACAATATCCGCCGACATCGTTTATCGCAGACGTCTGGCTTCACGCTCAGACTCGAGCAGGCAAAGAATGTCGTTCTCACGGACTGGTGGGGAAAGGTCAGGTTAGCATATTCAATTTGCGGATTTGGAGAGCTATCAGAATTTCGCCGTGAGTGCGTCAGTCTGTCCGGGGGAACGTACCGGGACCCTTGACGTTGCGGATGATGGAACGGGTAGAATCGTCCATGAACTCGACGCGGACCTGAGTGACACCACCACGGGAGCCTATTCGAAGCAACAAAAATTAGCCAAAGTTCCCATGACGTCGTATAGTCCCGCCAATCTGTCTTCGAAAATCGGTTCGCCAGGCGAGAGGTTCATTCGAGCGAGCGAAGATCAAATTCGGCCGTGTTCCCGGGTCGCATATGAAGATTGGTGGGCCTATGTCGGAAGGGCAACTGGAAGATTCGTACCGGTACGGCCAATGACCTTGGTCACCTTGACCAGCTTGACGGGGGTCTTTGAAGCTTCCATCTTGACGAAATTGGCTGTGTTGTTTTGTCGGGTTAAAGGACAGCAATTGTGGTGTGGAAATTTGGCAAAAGGTCGCTCTCAAGTGTTTGAAAAGTGGATGACCTCTATTTTGTGCCGTTTGCAAGGGTTTTCCCACAGTGATTTGGCGTGCGCGCCCCGCCCAGGACTTAAATCACGTGCTTCAACCGAAAGCCCCATTCTGGTGTTGACGGGCCGGCGTTGATCCGGTTTAGCTGCTGTTCAACAGTCGGGAGGGAGCGGACGCGCGAGTCTGGTTAGGGCTAGCGGAGTGTCGCGCGCTGGTGATGGTTTCACCAGTGTAAATTCTGTTGACGACGGGGTTGCACGGAAATAAGGATGAGTTTTTTGGGCAGTCTTGAAATTTCTCGGATCACTCGGTCCACCTGCGTTTAAAAACTTTCTTTTGTGCAGACTGCGATACGTAATCGACGTTCGATACAAACTGAGCCACCAACAATAGGCCTTTTCTAATTATTAACCACAAGACTAAGAGTTATTAACCAATTTGTGGCTTAGGTGTGGCTAGGTAGCGGTTAGACGCTGGCTTCAGCCCCCCTATAGTAATTTACACCTAATAGACGTGTTACGTGTCTACCTACTACCTATCCTAACCTAATTTAAAAACCGCTCCTATGCACGCATTTTTAAAGCTATCACAACGCACGCACGCCTCTAAAAAGCCACGGCCGAACAAACGCACAGAGGGCCGGCCAGAGGGCCAGCCAGAGGGCCAGCCAGAGGGCCAGCGTCACGCACAGGCACTGGCCAGGGCCGAGACGGCGGTGGCTCCGGACTCGATTGACCTCACGGCGGAAGATTCGGATAACCCGTACGTGCCGGGAACAGCTCGGCCCCAGGCCTATCAGCGTTATATAGGCCTTAATATTAGTAAGGAAGCTAGTAAGGTAGTAAAGGCTAGGAAGGAAGCTAGTACTATGGCTACTTAAAATAGCTTATAAAATACTAAATTTAATAATAATTAAAAAGAAAAATATAAATATAAATAATATAATAATTAAGCTAATTACTAAAATAAAAGTATAATTAATAAATAAAGAATTACCTTTATAATATAGTAGTTTTATAGTATAGAGTTTTATATAGGTTAGTATATAGATTACTAATTTAAATCTAGCTAAAAGCACCTTAAATAATTTTTCTAAAAGTTAAGTAATATAGCCTAGCCTTATAACTAACTTATAAAGAAATATAAATAAGATAATTATAATAAGCTAAGGTAAAAGCAAAGTAATATATACTAACTATTATATTATTTTAGCTTTTAATTAATAAAATAAAGCTAAAAGCTATATATATATTATTATCTTTATAAGTAGATACTAGGCCTAACCTACTCTATACCTACCTATAGGCTAAAATATAAAAAATAAGTTTAGTAAGTAAATTAACTTAATAACTAGTTAGTCTATAAATCTAGAAAGTACTTAGCTTATAAGTATAATAATTATAAGTAGAAATATTAAAAATATAGTTATAAAACCTATCTAGGGATAATACCTATATATAGATAGTATATATCTAGCCTAGCTCTTACTAAGAATCTTTAAAGAAGATTTAAAAAAAATACTCTTTTTAATATTATAAAAAAGTCTTAATAAGGTATAAAAACTTATAAACTCTATCTATACTATATAAAAGGAAATAGCTATTATAAATATAAAACTTATCCTCTTTAAGGCTATTTAATATATTATAATAAAGGCCTTTTAAAAGTACCTAGTAAGTAATCCTTAGCCTATCTTCTATATAGAGGTAGCCTAGAAGCCCTTAGGCCTCTAGGTAAAGCTAGTTTTAGCCTATTATAATACTAAGCTACTAGTTAGCTATTACTCCTACTTAAAAGAGATTTAATCTCTTTATTTATAAAAGCTTATTATTAAGGCTAATAAGGCTTTAAAGGTAAATATTATTATAACTATTTACTAACTCCCCTTTAAAGATATAATCCTTTCCTTTTATAAGGAAATAAAGGATTATATTAAGAATAATAAATAGGTTAAGATAGTTTATATTAAAGAAGTATACCTTACTTAATAAGAATATTCTATAGTAGTTAAGAAAATACCTATTTTAAAGATTTTATAAGATATTTTTAACTTTATTATAAAGTTTTTAGTTATTAATAAAGTAAATATTATATTAATTAAGGCTATTTAAGTCTATTTAAAAGTTAAATTAAAAACTATCTTTATTATTAAAGTCTATAAGATAAGTATTATTAACTACCTTTATAATACTAGAGTATTCTTTTAAATATAAGCCTTTATTTATAAACCCTTTTTAAAGTCTATTTAGCCTTATTAATATTATAATTACTATACTATAAAATATATTACTTATTATTATAATAAAAAAGCTAAATATAATTAATACTTTAGTAATATCTATTTAAAAAGGAAGGCCTACTTAGTAATAGCTAACCTAAATAAAGAAAGGTACTTAAACTATAAAGGTTAATACCTAATCTAGGCCTAAGCCTATTTAGTCTAGGTAAAATACTAAAAGGCTATTAATATAGAATATTATTAATAACTAATAGTTTTTACCTAATTATAAAAGATTTAGTATTTACTATACTTTCTTTAAACCTTATTACTAAATAAAAGAGGCTTAGTAAGCTAGGTAAGCTAGTTAGTAAATAATGCCTTATTAAACTTATTAGGCTAATAAGCCCCCCCCCTTAGTCCTAGAAAGGCCCCCCCCCTAGACTTCTTACTAAAGGCTAAAAGGAAGACCTCCTAGCTTATTAAATAGAATTAATATTACCTTTAAGTTTAATAGGCTAAATATAATAATAAATAGGTTACCCTTCCTTTTTTAATAGGTTATATTAATAAATTAAACTTAAAGTATAAATAACTTTACTAAGAAAGTATAAATAAACTCTTTTTTTATAATTTTAACCTTTTTCTTATTAAAAACTAATATAGCCTTAGTTATAAGCTTCTTTTTAAACTTTTTATAAATAAATATTAATATAATACCCTTTTTATTAGAATTAAGTATTTAAAATAAGCTATTATTAATAGTAATAAACTAACTAATTAATAACTAACTAGTTAAGAACCTATAAGTAGCTACTCTAATTACTATATTTACTATACTTATTATATCTAACCTTTTAATAAGACTTAGTAAGACCCTATAAGTAACTACCTAGGAGCCTATTAAAGTAATAAAGAATATTAATACTATAACTATTAATAAAAGTACTATTATAGAATATTAATAAAAGTAGTACTTAAATATAGTTAATACTTTATAATAAATCTAAACTAGATATTATTACTATATAGGAAATATTAAATAATAAACTACTTTTAGCCTTAGTATTA